TGACCCTGCTCCCCCTCTCGTCTCATCTCCTCTCCTCAATTCAACCCCGGCAGGCACGTGGTCGGTGCTCTCTAAGTTAATAGTCATTCTCGTGATGCTGCTCGGGCGGCACAGAGGGCTACCAGACAACATTGACGCCGCCATTGTCATTCCGCCGCCCAAGCAGTTCCAGCGCCGGCTTGGCCGACGAATCAAAGGTGACGGGGGTTTTTGACATGTGAGGTGACTCGTGAGTCGATTGATACCTCGAGCAGGTGACTTGTGGGACGACTAATAAGTCAAGAAGGGATGCATTTGTTATTACTACTACTGTACTCGTACAGCTCCACTGGTACGACTCTACTGTAGGACTCTTGCTCTTCTTTTCATCCTTGCCTCTTTGCTTATTTTGCCCCCGTCCCCCCATGGCCTCACCGCATGCTTGTCCCAGCCCCCCAGCCTTGTGTCACGGTGCATCCCACTCATTTGCTCACGCAATGTCCACTTGAGATATTTCAGAAGTTCTCCTACCTCGCCAACCCCCCACCCCCACGGCCCCCCCCCCGGGTTCCTGCCATCTCTCGCAGACGACCCTGCTGTGCTGCTCACGAGAGCGCTCACTATGACCAAGTCTCAGCCCAGCTCTCTACTGCGCCGCCTCTCCTCGTACGTAGCCCTTGCACCAGTGTGTACGTGTGTTTGTGCGACTCATTGCAACCTTCTTGTGCTGGAATCCAGGTTACTTGTGAGGCGCCTTAAAACCCTTCTCATGGTGGAATCTAGGGTGCTGAAGCGTGGGATCATCCCCCCACTGGTGGTGTCCTACGCATTCCTATGTGCACATGTGATCCCTTCCCCTACCAAAGCTTTTGCTGGCCAACAGACATAGGCTGCAGCCTGCTGCTCCCTTGAGAGCACACATACACAACATTCCAATTAGTCCATGTACTACCCATCCCTTGCATGCAGGCTGCATGCTACTCAGTCAACTGTTGGAGCCATGGCATCTGCAGTGCCCTCCTCCATACCCTCAGATGTGCCGTACCGGGTTCACACCAGCTAGAGCATTCAATGATAGCCTATGCATTCATTTCAACCCCTGCAAGAGCGAGCAATGCCATCTTCAGTGCCCTCCTGCACCCCTGCAGAAGCGCAGTTCCGGTTTCACACCAGCTAGATATAAGGTAGCCAATGCATAATGCATTGTGTGCAGCTCGCTTGCGCAGTCTCAGTTTGTTTAGTTTAAATATATGCCTTGTGCTGTTGTGCAGTTGTCGGTTTTCTTGAAGTAACAAGATACACAGTTCCGCGATGCTCTATATAAAGTGCCTACATCCATGTCTACAGAGTCCAAACGTATTTCTTTTTGCAACATTAAACCGGTGTGTGATGATACTTTCTATACATACCTACCACAATCAATGCCTGGTAAAGATGATGGTTAACCAGCCTGATTTGAAGACGGCTTCAAGTGAGGGGACTGTACTGAGTGATCATCCTGAGTGCACTGTATTGACATTTGGACCGTTGCATCGGGTCGGAGATTTCGTCCGATCACGTGAAGGCACAAGGGACGCCGCGTGACAGCTAACCGCCTCACCCTCCGCGTAGATCCTTACCATCGTGGAAAGTTGCCAAGCTTTACCACCAGCCGATCTTCAGCAGTTGGTAGGCTTGATGCCCTTACAGCTGCCCTACTCCTGGAACCATAAAGCCTGACTTAGCTGATTTCCGTTTTTGTGCGATCCTGCTCTGTACTTAATGGGCTTGGGCTGTGTATTTCTGGGTTATGTGAAGCCGTTTGCCGCTGATTTTTTTCCGTTGCCCGTTCTGAGATCCCGGAGCCGCTTGGCCACCCGGATTTGTGCCCGAATCACCTTTTCCTAGCTAATGGCCATTGGCCTGCTTTGACTCGCATGCTGCAGAGGTCCTTCTAGATTCTTGAAAGTCTTGAGAGACAGGACATCTGTTACAACTTCCATTTGAAAGCGGATGGTCATTATCACGCAGTCGCCGCATTAGTTTTTCCACGGCATCTAGCCCTGAGCCACTTCATGTTTTGAGGGTTCAGAGCTTGCATGTGCTGTTTAGAATACACGTATTACAGTGACCGGAAGGGATGTCGCGTCTGTTGGGAATTCCACGACTACCCCCTGACAGAACTGTATACATATTAGAAAATCACGGGGACACGCATATTTGGTTCGTTGTCCAGCTCTCTGCTTACTGTTTGGTTTTACTGTAGCCATCATGGTGACCCTCACAATCGAAGCACATTTATGACGTCGCCGAAGCCTCCAATCAACCACTCGGGGACGCCGCGGGCGGATTGCTTTGTGGCACGCGGTAGGGGGATCTGTGCAGCGGCGGGCGCATCAATCTGAAGATTGCGCACATGCTGTGAGCGCACAGCTGCACAGAACCGTCGTGCACAGTTCACGTGGTTTCAGGTGGTACCTACAAAATTCTGGGTAATCACGCTGTGCTTAAATTCTGGGGTACCAAACTCATTTTCTCTCAACCCGGGGGTACTCTTTGAGGACCCGATTAGGGTCATGAGTACCGAAGTACGATCCTCGGTGTGAGGGTTCCAAAACTTGGTGTGCCAAGCATTGTTCCTGGCTGATGGTTAGTACCTGGAGTTCAGGGTGTCTGCTAAGTTAATCCTCTCTGTAGCTAGGAGCGTGTTGAGCAACATAGCATTCTGCTTCTTTAACACTGCAGACTAGGTGCCCCCATTACTGTACCCCCCAATTCGCCCCAATTAGCCCCCAATTCTCCCCCAAGTCGCCCCCAATTCGCTCCAATTTCCCAAACTCAGTGCGGTTGTGTGGCCCCCAACCAAACTCCCTTCCCTTCCCTTCCATCATCCATGCCATGCCCCCCCAAATTCCACATTTGGCTTTGTTCCCTGACCTGACCACAGCCTTTCCCTTGACCTTCAATCCGAAAGCATGTGTGGTGGTTGACAAGCAGCTGATGTAAACCAAAACGCTGTGGTGGGTCTCGTGATCAGTTCCAGCCCAGCCCTTGTGACTGAACTGCTGTGACCACGTTATTGCCACCACATCTATAACCCCCCTGTACTACCTTGAAGACTGTCACCTGCCTATTTCTCCTGTCCATTTGGTGGACGGTTTATTCAGAGCACGTTGTCCCGCCATTTCTTCCTACTTCTCAACCACGACAAAGCATCGTGAACACACTCCCAGCTATCACAACCATGCCGCCAATCGTGTGCAGCCTCGATGCCTGAACCGTATCACGGATTGTGCTAAAACGCCACCTTTCGTCGTCCACCGACGAGCTTGCAACATACCCCTCCAATTTCGCGACGACTCAATTTTCATTTAGCCATATCGGCTATCGCCCGCGTTCAACCTGATATCTAATCCTTACTAGCTTGCCGCACCGTCACACCTTAGCAGAGCGATCTCACTTGTCAATGGCCGCAATGGTAGCCGTTCCGCAAGCAGCTCCCCTCCGGAGTCCCCAGAGCCCTCCTCAGCCGAACCTTTCGCCAGTTTCCGACCATGCTTTTGCGGAAATTCCGCCTATGCCGCGCCGGAGTTTAACGGTCCAGATCCCCGACCCTGAAAGCGAAGAGATCGGCGCCGATCCCCCGAGGCCGATCGAGTGGCTCCCGGCCGGCGACGCCGTCTGCGACGACGACGACGATTCCGACGACGAAATTTGGGACATCGACATTTCGCGCACGAGCACTGGGGGGACCCGTTACAGTGCGCCTCCTTATTGTAACAGCGGGTACCAGGACCCGCAAGTACTGCTGCTTGGCCTCCGCGCGGGGGCGGACGGTCCGCCCATCTCCCACAGCGGTCCCCAGCCGTGCACTAGCGCAATTAACGGAAGCTCGAGGTTTTCCAAAGGGCAGGTCAGCTGCCCGTCCGCACCCGATCGGAGCGCTGCTTCTCAATTTCGAGGAAATGAGGATGACGAGGGGGAAGAGGAGTGGGATGGGGACAGGGAAGGCGAGGAGCAATCCCCCGATGCGGGAATCACGGCGTCCGAGATTTCCGCACGATTAAAGCTACTGGAGGTAGAGTTGCAGATCCTGGAAACGCATCGCCGAGTCGCTGTGCTACGCTGTCAGCGCGAAATTAACGGCGCCGCGGAGATAAACTCCGGTGCGGATAAAGCTTCCGCCTCTGCGGTAACCACCACCTGCGCCAGCGGATCCGCGGACGCTGCTGCTGCACCTGCGGGTAGCAGAGCCGCCAGTGTCTGTGCCGCGAGCAGCGCGGGAAACTCCGGAAGCAATTCCGCGAGCTCGTCCCGCGCGTCCTCGCGATCGGAGTCCCCGCTGCGGCTGGGCAGGTGGCGGCGCAGCCGGCGGTCGAGCAGCGGAAGCAGCAGCCTGGCGCAAAGCAGCGGAACTAGCAGCTCGGGGGGCAGCACTAGGAGCGGACTGAGTTCGGGGAGGCGGAGCCTCGACTGGGAGGTACTGAGGGGCTCTGACAAAGAGAAGGCTGCCGCGAGAAAATCTTTGGACATTGCTAACGTGGCGAGTTTGGTGGAGGAGGATGATGAAGATTACGCATGTGAGAAGGACTGCTTGGAGGTAGAGAGTGACTGTGAAGAGGGACTGCAGCTCAGCCCCCAATTTCGGGGATGCATGATGAGAGTGGCTTGTCGAGCGCCACGCGGTGCGTGTTTCCCTGTGGCGGTGAAAGGCCATGGTGTGATTGCTGCGCTGCGGAAGCATCATCACAGTTAATCGCATATTGTGTGGTTTAGGTGTTCATAAGTTAAAAGTAGAAATAGTAAATTATGATAGTGGAACTAAAGCTTCAAACCCTGTAAAATACTGCAACGCTCATAATGAGTATTTATTGGATGTTGGGACCTTTGTAGGGAGGGGCGAAACGGGGACACTTTTGCTCCAGTGAGCAACCAATCCAATTCTCGCTCGGGTACAGCCACGTCAGCCGCTCCGTCAGCTCAAGCTCCAAGATCCGCGCTATTAACGACCACTCAAAGCTCGTCTCGACCGCCACGTAGTGAGCGGGAACCACAACGGCGCACCCATCAACCCGAACACACACATCACACTGCACTACTACTGTACAGTGTCAAATGCGCGGTCGCGCGCGCAAAATCTCGGGGGAAGCAGGCGGAATAATGCCAGCGCCAGCGCCACCACATCAACACAGATTTCCCCCTGACAAGCCACGAAGGTCTAGTTCAGTCTGGTCTTTCTAGTTCCGCCTGCTCGCCCCCGCCAGGTGCGCCTGCCTGCGCCCCGCCACCACAGCGGAGCAGAAGTGCAGAGGCTTGGGCTTCGAGAGGGGGAGGGGGAGGGGGAGAGTCTCCGCTCTGACTCACACATCACATTTCACTCGCGCAATCAGAAGAGAGCATTCAAGGCGGGATCAGCACCAAACATCAGCCAAAATGTTCAGAAGATAGGCATTTTGATGCAAAACTGGTCCATTTTGGTTAGGACTGTCGGAAATCGTGTTTGGATCGCGCACACGCCGTCAGGTAGTCTGCGTCTTGTACGCCTCTTTGTGCTTGTGTGGTTCAGCATGGCGACAGCGGTTATCCAGCCGCATTGCCATGCGGCTACCGCCAGTGCGTCGCGCACGCGACTGGCGAAGCCCTCGTCGTCGCAGCCGTCGCATCTAAAATCGCCGATCTATGGCTGGCCCGTCACGGCCAGCGCATACCTCGAGTCGCACGCCGCGATCGTCGCAGCCTCGCCGATCGCAACCTCTCCTTCCGCCGCGATCCGCAACCGCCGCCAGAAGCGCCGCGCCGTCATCTCCGCTGCGGCGGGCGACGGCGGGGAAGGTGCGCCGAAGCCGGTTACGGTTCCGGCGGCGCCCGTGGCGGCGCCTTGGAAGGGTGCGAACATGAAGACCCTGGGAATTTCGGTGGCGACGGGCGTCGCGATGTGGTACTGCCCGCGACCCGAAGGCGTGGCGGCCAACGCGTGGCAGCTTCTGGCGATCTTCCTCGCGACGATCATCGGCATCATCACTCAGGTGTGTGCTTTCGCCGCAATACACTCTCTCGCCGCAATGTGCGCTCTCCCCGCGTTGTGCACTCTCGCGTCATCGTAGCAATAATGTGCCCGCTCGCCGCAACAAATGCGCGTTTTCGGTGAGAACGAGAAGGGAGTAACCAGCGAGCCTTGCTGGTCGTCAGTTAGTCCATTACTGTCCGCAGCACCTGATGAAGCTACTTAAGTCGAACACTCAACAGTGTGATATACACCACACGCGTGCATTTCGCGCCATCTTCTCCCGTCCTCCCTCCATTTCCCTTCTTCCCCCTTCCCCCTCCCCCTCCCCCTCTTTGTTCCGCGCGCAGCCGTTGCCTCTCGGAGCGGTTGCGCTCATGGGTCTGGGCGTGAGCGTGCTCACCAAGACGCTCACCTTCGCTGCCGCCTTCAGGTAACATGGTGTAACATTGTAACATCCTAACGTTTATCCGTGTAGCTTTTTTTTTTTCACAATGTAGCTAAATGTACCCCGTTTCCCCGTCCCTCACTCGTTTCCTCCTACGCCCCGCTTCCCTCCCTCCCCTTATCCTCCTCTCATGTCGCGCGATCACATTCCGTGACTTATCGTGCTTTCCTTCCTCCCCCCTTCCTCTCTTCCACTCCCCCTCTTCTCACCCCCTCTCCGCTCCCCTTCCCCCTCCACATTCTCACCTCCCTTCGGCGATCACATCCCGTGGCTCATTGCACTCGCATTCTTCTTCCCCCCTTCTCGTCTTCCGCCCCTCTCCCAACCCCCACATTATTTCCCCCCCCACCCTCCCCTCTCCTCTTCTTCCGCAGCTCCTTCGGCGATCCCATCCCGTGGCTCATCGCGCTCGCATTCTTCTTCGCAAAGGGCTTCATCAACACGGGTCTCGGCAACCGCGTTGGTTACCAGTTCGTCGCCGCTTTCGGCAGCACGTCGCTCGGCTTGGGCTACAGCCTCGTGCTCTCCGAGGCCATGCTCGCGCCCGCCATCCCCTCCGTCTCCGCGCGCGCGGGCGGGATTTTCCTTCCGCTGCTCAAGGCGCTGTGCCAGGCGTGCGGAAGCCGCACGGACGACGGCACTGAAAAGAAGCTCGGCGCGTGGCTCGTGCTCACCTGCTTCCAGGTAGGTTCCTTTATCCACGGAGATTACAGATACCTTCCCTCATCGTTGCTGACTTCCAGGCACCTTCCTGGATGTGTGGTTCTCCAGATGAATATTCCCCTTTCCCAACCATTCCCTGTCTCGCCTTCCCTTTCCCTCCCGTGTCCACACTTCCCCCTTTCCCCCTCCCCCCGCGCCTTCCCCCGCGCCTTCCCCCGCGCCTTCCCCCGCGTCTTCCCCCGCGCCTTCGCCCCTTCTCTCCAACCGCCCCCCTCCCCCCAGACGTCCATCGTCTCGTCCGCCATGTTCCTCACGGGCATGGCGGCGAACCCGCTCGCCGTGAATCTTGCTGCAGGCGCCATCGGCCACACGATTGGGTGGACGGAATGGGCCAAGGCGGCGCTGGTGCCGGGTCTCATCTCGCTCGCCGTCATGCCCGCGCTGCTCTACGTCATCTACCCGCCGGAGATTAAAGCCAGCCCCGACGCGCCCAAGCTCGCGCGCGAGAAGCTCGCGGCCATGGGGCCGATGAGCACCAACGAGAAGATCATGGCGGGCGTGCTCGTTGGCACGGTGCGTGAGTGTGTGTGGTGGTGGAATGCGGTGTAGTCAGGTGCGTGGCATGTAGCCGACCAGAGCAGGAAGCAGCGACTTTAGAAAGCTGCGATGTCAGGGCTCCAAATAGACGCCCGTTTGTGCACCGAATGTGTCTCCCTTGAGAGAAATTGAGAGTTTTGAGTCGACTCAAGAGTTTTTTTTACAAGCTCTCAAGAAGACCTCTCGTTCTCGCTTGCTCCTTTCCCATCCGTCCCTCCCACCTTTCCCCATCCGCAGGTGGGTCTGTGGGTGTTTGGCGGCGTGTTGGGCATCGACGCGGTAACGGCAGCCATCATGGGGCTCAGCGCGCTGCTCATCACGGGCGTGGTGACGTGGAAGGAGTGTCTGGGCGAAGGCGTGGCGTGGGACACGCTCACGTGGTTTGCTGCTCTCATCGCCATGGCCAACTATCTCAACAAATACGGGCTCATTGCGTGGTTCAGCAAGACCGTTGTCAATGTGAGTGAGCTGAGGGAGTGAGCGTGTGCAAGTGGAAGTGAGTGTGTGTGTGTGTTTGATTTAAATGCGCATGTGGTTCGCTGCTCTCATCGCCATGGCCAACTTTCTCAACAAATACGGGCTCATTGCTTGGTTCAGCAAGTCAGTTGTGAACGTGAGTTAGAGCGTGTGTGTAAGTGTGTGCGTGTGTCACACTCCCTCTATTCATCATCCTTGCCCCCACTCCCCTCTCCCTTCCCCCCACTCCCCCCTTCCATACACACACCCCCACTCGCCAGCTCGTCTCCTCCATGGGTCTCGCCTGGCAGCCCGCCTTCGGCCTCGTCATCCTCTACTTCTACTCGCACTACTTCTTTGCCTCTGTCACAATCATCTCACTCCCTTGTTCTTTTCCCTCCCTTCCCCCAACCCACCAGCTCGTCTCCTCCATGGGTCTCGCATGGCAGCCCGCATTCGGTCTCCTCGTCATCCTCTACTTCTATTCGCACTATTTCTTTGCTTCCGGCGCCGCACACATCGGGGCCATGTTCGTCGCATTCATCTCAGTCGCCTCGGCCCTCGGCACTCCTCCCCTGCTCGCCGCCATGGTTCTCTCGTTCATGTCGAACCTCATGGGTGGGATTACGCACTACGGGATTGGGTCTGGCCCGCCGTTTTACGGGTCGGGGTATGTGTCGCTCAATGATTGGTGGCTCTACGGGTTTATCTGCAGTGTGGTGAATCTGGTGATCTGGCTCGGCGTGGGTGGTCTGTGGTGGAAGTTTCTGGGGATCTGGTAGAGAGAGGGGAGAGGAGAGGGTAGAGGAGGGGAGAGGACTAGACAGGGAAGAGGGATGGATGGATTATAGATTACGCATAAGGCAGTGACTAGTGCAGGGTTGTTAGACTTATGGAGGTTAGAAGAACCTGTTACCTATCACATCTGTTACTCATGCTGTCTTCTTTGAGGATGAATTTCGTGAGACAAAATACTAATGAAAGGCTAGAACTTGGAAGCAAAGCCACTGAGTTATATAAACCATGATAAGTACAAATAAATACAATTAGCACAATGGAAACATAGGTAGTACATGTAGTTAGTGTAAATGTTTCTTATGATGTCCCATCAGCCTCCGTTGAGACCCCCATCTGCTCATTCCACTGCGCACGTGGTGGCATCGGCTGGGAGTAGAAATGCTTGGTCTTTCTCGGAGTGCTGCTGCTGGTCGCTCCCTCACCACTACCACCACTCCGTCTCCCGCTCCCATCACCACTTCCCTTGGCACTCTCTCTGCTGCTGCCCCCAAGTAGCTTCGATCGTCGTCCCGAACCACCCGATTCCCCGCCTGCTCTCCCACTCACCCTCTCCCCATTCGCTCTCTCCCCTTTTGATCTCTCCCCCTTCTCCCTCCCAGACCTGCCTCCAGCTGTACCCGGCCTAGAGCCTCCCCCTCCCCCACTTTCCCCTCCTCTCCTCCCCCCTTCCGCCTCTGACTCGCTATCCATAGCTGCTGCTGCCCCCCCCCCTGTGAAACACCCCACTATCGCCCCTCCCTGCATGGCCTTGCGTAGTCGCCTGGTTTCCAGCAGCGAGGGGGAGAGCATTGGGGAGGCGAGAGAATGGTCAAGTGACAGGCTCCCGTCAACCCGAGCAGCAGCAGCAGCAGCAGGGCTCTCAGAATCCCAATCCGTGACACCAGCAGCAAGCATGGGATTGGAATATAGGCTGTTGGGGGGAGGGGTGGAGGGGCGAGGGGGTGTGGCGGGAGGTGCGGTAGTCACTCGCATGGATCTAGACTTGCCAAAGCCCCACCGCTGCGACCCCCAGCCTCGAGAGGACGAGGAGGAGGACGAGGCAGAGGAGGGGATCGAGGGGATGGAAGAGGGGAGGGAGGAGAGCGCGGAAGAGAGCGCGGAGGAGGTTAAGGAGGAGGAGGAGTGCGGGTCGGTAGTGTCTGTGGAAAGGAATGAGTCGGTGCTGACTTGGCGGGCGACAGAGGAGGCAGCAGAGGAAGAGCCGGGGATGGATGAGGAGGAGGAGGTGAAGGAAACGGCTGAGGAGGAAGGTGGGACGGATTTAGGGGTTGCAGCCGCGCTGCTGCTGGTGTTGCCCTGCCTGCTGCTGCTTCTGCTGCCGCTGTTGGTGCTCCTGATGCTGCTGCTCCGCTCCTGATCACCTCCCCCGGACTCGCCTCGTCTTTGTCTGCCACTACCACGCTTACTGCTCCTGCTGCTCTGTTTCCCCACTTCCCCTGTGGCCGCCTCTAATTCTCCCCCCCTCCGCGCCTCCCTCTCCTGTTCTCCTTCCCCCCGCCTATCCCCAGTGGCCCCTCTTCCGCCCAATCCCTCCTCAATCGTCTCTCTTGCACCCCGCCCCTCCCCACTGGCCTCTCTTTCCCCCACTCCTCCCCCCACGTCCCCCCTTCCCTCCCCCCGCCCCAGTCGGGACGAGCGGGGGGAGTCAGCAGGGGAGGGGGTACCAGCGGGGGAGAGGAACGGGAGGCCTTGAGGGGAGAAGCAGCCAGAGGCTTGCCCAGGGGAGCCGCGACCAGGGGAGAATCGACTGGGGGAGGCGTCACTTGGGGAGAGCCGGCCAGGGGAGGGGCGGCCAGGGGAGGAGGAAGCACAGGAAGCCATCACGAGCCGGTCCGCCTGAGGGCTGCAGCTCTGGCTCTTACACACCCCACTGCCGCCGCTGCTCCTCATGCTTTCCTTGCCTCTGTGCGCTCCGGCCCCCTGCTGCTGCAGGAAGGAGTTGTCTGATCGAGAGGATGGGATGCGCGGTCGGGAGTAGGTGGCGGGAGGGGGAGGCGTGGGGAGACGAGAGGGAGATGAGGAGGAGGAATCAGAAGGACCAACACCAACACCAGCACCAGCAGCAACACCAGCACCAGCAGCAGCAGCAGCAGCAGCAGCAGCAGTAGTAGCAGAACCAGACGCATCTGTCCCCTTGAGCCGGCTACTACTGGGTCTGGATCTCGTGGGGCGGCCAGAGGAGGGCCTGCTGGGGACTCTGGAAGGAGATTCAGTGCCGCTGGTGCCGCTGGTGCTGTTGATGCTGCTGGTGTTGTTGCCACCGCCATCACCGCCACTATCTCTTCCATTCTGCATGGTTGTCACTGCTGCTGTTGCTTCAGCAACAGGCGCGGTGTGAGCGCGTGGAAGCTCCTTGTCCTGCTTCACCTTGCTCCTGCCCCTCGCTCTAACACTACCGCTGCCACTGCCACTGCCACTGCCACTGCTGCTGGACCCCTCCCCCTGACTGCTCTTCTTAGCCCTACTGCCTCCTGCCCCGCTCTTCCCACCCTGCTCCACTTCCACTCCCTCCCCGCTTCCCCCATTCTCCCCACCCCCTTCCCCCATCCTCTGACTCTGCTCCTCGCCTTCCCTGCCCCCTGCCCTCCCACTCCCCCTCCTCCCAGCTCCCCCCCTCCTCTCCGTCCCCCCACCTTCAGACCGAGACACAGGGACGGCTGAGGGCAGGGGAGCGGCGCTGGCGGGGGACTCAGGGGGAGTCACGAAGGCAGGGCTGCCAGTGCTGTCACTGCTGCCATTCACACCACCGCCGCCACCAGCACTACCCGTGCTGCTGCTCTTGTGCATACCCATGGTCACGGCCGTGCTTGTGCCCCTGCTGCTGCTGCCCACTCCTTCCCCACTGGAGCAAGCAGCAGCAGAAGCAGCAGCAGCAGACCCAGCAGCAGACCCAGCAGCCCCAGCAGCGACAGCGGCAGCAGTAGCAGAACCACTGGAATCAAATTCGGCCGCAGCAGAGGCAGCAGCAGCAGCGCTAGCAGCGGCAGCGGCAGCAAAAGACGAAGCAGTGGCGGAGACAGTAGCAGCAGTGGGTGCGGGTGTGTGCGGGCGTTGACACTGAGAGGAGGACATGTCCCGCAACAGACCACTGTTAACCACGCTCTGACTGTGACCTGCCTCCACATCCGAACCTGCTGAAGCTGCCGAACCTGCCGAAGCTGCCGAAGCTACCGAAGCCACCTCACCTCCCCTTGGCGTTTGCGCGCGCCTAGCCTGGCAAGAGTCATCATGCACCTTAGTTACCTCCCCGCCGAACCAGTCGTCGTCTCTCCCATCCATGCCGCACGCCTTGCGGAACTGGCGCTCTGCCTCGGCCACCTTCTCTGCCACGAGCTGGGCGTAGTCGAGGGAGGCAGGCACCTGCGTGGAGACACAGCCTATTGGGGACTCCACTCCGCAGATGCGGCACAGACCCAGGAGAACATCTACTAGCGTGGCGTTCACCGCTTGCAGATTCGCGAAGTAGAACGTCTGGGGGTTGCGCCGGATAACGGGGGTTTGGGAGGGAACGCGGGGGAATGGGAGGGATGTGATTGGGAGGGGGAGACGAGCGGGCGCTGCTTACTGCTCGGTGGGCAGGTGTGAAAGTGCATGCAGGCCACGACCAGCACCAAGCTACACACCTGCACTTGAAAGATCGTTTCAGAAGAGTCCAAAGCAGCTCCAGGAGTGTGCAGCGAGTGCCAGGTGATGGTGTAGTGCGCCATGGTGGCAGCAGCAGCAGCAGCAGCAGCAGCAGCAGCAGCAGCAGCAGCAGCAGCAGCAGTAGGAGTGTGTGTGCATACAAGCCAAAACCAGCACCAAACCACCCAACACACCTGCACTTGAAAGACCGTTTCAGAGGAGTCCAAAGCAGCCCCGGGTGTGTGCATAGAGTGCCAGGTGATGGTGTTGTGCGCCATGGTGGGCAGCAGCAGCAGCCCGCGCTTCAGGTTCGCCTCCACTCGCCCATCTGCCTGGAAGTTGACAGCGTCTTGCAGCTGCACACGCAGCAGGTACTGTATGTTCCGCGGCAGCATCTCATACAGCTCGTCCCTGCGGGAGACAGCAAGTACGCAAGGTGGGGAGGGTGGAGGGGAAGGGCTGCAAGTTAACAGCGTCCTGCAGCTGCACACGCAGCAGGTACTGTATGTTGCGCGGAAGCATCTCATACAGCTCGTCCCTGGGGGAGAGAGCAAGTACGCAAGGTGGGAAGGGTGGAGGGGAAGGGCTGCAAGTTAACAGCGTCCTGCAGCTGCACGCGCAGCAGGTACTGTATGTTCCGCGGCAGCATCTCATATAGCTCGTCCCTGCACCACGAGGGGGAAGGAGGGGGAGGGAGGGGGAAGAGGGAGTGGGAAAGGGGGAAAAGGGCAGCGACACATTGACATAGTGCAGCGTCAGCCAATAGCACTACCCTGGCATCCATGCATGTCATCCATGCATGTCATCCATGCATGCCATCCATGCATGCCATGCCATACAACCCCACCCGGTATGTCTCAGCACGCTCGCACCTGGTGGGTCGCAGCACTTCGTTCGTCCGGCTGCTGCATGATCCGTTCCAGCAGCAGCACCACGTTGGCGTAGTGCAGCGCGAGCATAGCACGACAAAGTGCCATGCCATTCCAAACCAACATACCTAGTGGGTCCCAGCACTTCGTCCGGCTGCTGGATAATCCGCTCCAGCAGCACCACCACGTTGGCATAGTGCAGCGCCAGTCCCGCCTCCCCCACACATGCCTCCCGGATGCGCGGCGGACACATGCCATGGCCAAACGCTGCAAAGATTTTCTTGCGTACGTAGCATGCTGCTATGATGAGCAGCTGACGGGTGGGAAGGGAGGGATCGGAGGAAAATGTGAAAGGGGGTTTGAGGGGGTGCGAATAGGAGTTTGAGGAGAGGGCGTGGGGGGGTTAGAGGAGAGGCGGACACATGTCGTGGCCAAACGCTGCAAATAACTTCTTGCGCACGTGGCAGGCTGCTATGATGAACAACTGGCACATGGGGAGAGGGCCCGGGAGGGCAGCGGCACAGGGTGTGGGGGGACTAGTTTTGAGGCGCCTCAAAACTAGGGCAGCGGCACAGGGTGTGGGGGGAGGAGATGGCGAACGGGAACATGATAGTTGTTGAATATGGTGATGCTGATGTTGATGCTGATGCTGATGCTGATGCGGTAACCAATGGTTGAAGGCCCACCTGCACGAGGAAGTCGAGGTGGTAGGCCCAGAGGCAGTGGCCCTGCAGCTTCTCCACCAGCTTGCCCTGCGTCACCATCTCCTGCAGCGAGTTCCACTCGCCGTACTCCTGAATGCTGCCAATGGGGGAAAGGGAGGGCGGAGAGCGGCATTGACAGGCATATCAGCATGAGCCGGCGCGCTACCAGCTTGCCCTGCGTCACCATCTCCTGCAGCGAGTTCCACTCGCCGTACTCCTGAATGCTGCCAATGGGGGAAAGGGAGGGCGGAGAGCGGCATTGACAGGCATATCAGCATGAGCCGGCGCGCTACCAGCTTGCCCTGCGTCACCATCTCCTGCAGCGAGTTCCACTCGCCGTACTCCTGAATGCTGCCAATGGGGGAAAGGGAGGGCGGAGAGCGGCATTGACAGGCATATCAGCATGAGCCGGCGCGCTACCAGCTTGCCCTGCGTCACCATCTCCTGCAGCGAGTTCCACTCGCCGTACTCCTGAACGCTGCCAATGGGGGAAAGGGAGGGCGGAGAGCGGCATTGACAGGCATATCAGCATGAGCCGGCGCGCTACCAGCTTGCCCTGCGTCACCATCTCCTGCAGCGAGTTCCACTCGCCGTACTCCTGAATGCTGCCAATGGGGGAAAGGGAGGGCGGAGAGCGGCATTGACAGGCATATCAGCATGAGCCGGCGCGCTACCAGCTTGCCCTGCGTCACCATCTCCTGCAGCGAGTTCCACTCGCCGTACTCCTGAATGCTGCCAATGGGGGAAAGGGAGGGCGGAGAGCGGCATTGACAGGCGTATCAGCATGAGCCGGCGCGCTACCAGCTTGCCCTGCGTCACCATCTCCTGCAGCGAGTTCCACTCGCCGTACTCCTGAATGCTGCCAATGGGGGAAAGGGAGGGCGGAGAGCGGCATTGACAGGCATATCAGCATGAGCCGGCGCGCTACCAGCTTGCCCTGCGTCACCATCTCCTGCAGCGAGTTCCACTCGCCGTACTCCTGAATGCTGCCGACCGCGAAAGGGCAAGGGGCGGAAGGGGCGGAGGGGAGACAGGGGAGGCATGGACAGGCGTGTCAGCGTCAGCAGCTTGCCCTGCGTCACCATCTCCTGTAGCGAGTTCCACTCGCCGTACTCCTAAATGCTGGCAGCCAGATGGACGGGCGGATGGGGAGAGGGGGGTTTGACAGGCGTGTCAATATCAGCAGCCGTGCAACCTGCTCGCCCTGCGTCACCATCTCCTCATGAGGTAGTAGGACCCGAGGGGAAGGCGCAGGGGGCAAGAGGTATGAATGCGGCGGAAATGACAATATCTCCCTGCCACCTCCCCGCCATCATTTCCCCCCCCAGAATTTCCCCCGCTTCATCCCACCACTTCCTCCCTCTCCCCCCGACCATTTCCCCCTTCCCCCATTTCCGACACCCCTCTCCCCAACACTTCCAGCTTCCCCCACCCCTCTTTCCCCCTCCCTCCACCCCTCTTTCGCACAGCGCTTACCGGCTGTGCAGCTCCTGAATGGACTCCATTTCGCTCTTCAGCTCGCTCGTCGCCTCCGCTTGCTCGCGCATGAACCTGCCGTGCCATACCGTGCCACACCGAGACATACCGTGCCATGCCGTCGTGCAAATACCACAAATGTGCGAAGAGAGAACGGGAAGAGAACGCGAAGGAAACCCGTGAGAACAGGACTCGCAACATCGTCATCCCTCCAATATGATCATCCGCATCATAGCATTCACACAACCTTTGGAGAAAATCATCGTATCACTTCAAAGACACCTCCCCTTCAGCTCACCTAAGAAGCACCTCCCCTTCAGCGGAAGACGCGGAGAACATCTTATAATCGGCATCTATGCTGTCTAGCCGCGCAAAGAGCCGCTCGAGTTTGTGCAGCCGCGATTCGCGGCACTTGCGACCCAGCACGGCGACGCGGCACGCGACGGAACGCAGCTCCTGATGCTTCTCGTACCCCGCGAGGCCCCATAGTACTCTAAGGTCGCTGGAGATTAAAGTGACCACGCCAGGCGCCTGCGCGGAGCGAACCCGCAAGGGAAACTATGAGATTTATGCATTCCGAGGCGCGTCGGAAAGAGGAGCGAAGTGAAGGTGGGGAGGAGTAAGGGAGACGTTGAAAACATGAGACCTGGAGAAGAGACCGTTGAGCAACTATAAGAACGCTGACCAAAAGTCGCAGTTGTATGGAAGTTACGTGCAGCAGCTACGGGAAAGAGCTGCAGGACCACACTACCGGCGTATAACGAGGTAAGCCTTATCGGACCTGAAGGTTGGCGCGCAGCGAGGAGAGCATTTTCTCGGACATGGAGTCGCAGATTTCGAGAGTGCGACGCATGATGGCTCCAATTTCGAACGCGAGCATTTCCGTAGGAACCTCCCTTCCCGTTCCCCCCCTCCCATCGACGAGCGGCTCCACCGACGTGTCGCCATAGAACGACCGTTTAACGATCTTTTTAAGCGTCGACTCGCCAAGCGCTGCAATCGACGGCGATCCGAGTCGAATAGGGGAGTCTGGTCGCTGGTCCCCTGCGGTAGAATCTTTTCCACTAAGCGGGGATTTATCTCCGCCGTTTTCATGATCCCCCTTTCCCCTCCTCTTGAAGCTGGGGCTATGGCTGAAGACCCTGTTTATCGTCTGAAGCATGACTGCAAGGGTTACAAACTGCGAGAATGTTTAACAAACATTTGTCAAGAAAAAAGCCTGTGTGAAGGAAGCGGCTTGGCCGTAAGCTTAGCAGAAGTTAGGGGCCATTGTGCTTCTGGAAAATAACCTGACAGCACTGCAAGGTCACGTAGAACGGCTCGACTAATAATTGAAACCCTAATGGATGATGAGACTGGCAGCCTTGCACATATCCCGAGTTCTCTTCCCCCGTTCCAATTTCTCAAAAGAGAAGACGGGGCAGTCGGAGAGAGCGTAATCTCACGAAAATATTTCGACGCCAGTCGTGTGGTGCTCGGCGGGAATATTCACTTCTGGGTGCAACGAAAATCAACTGAGATGACGAACCCTAGACTTGGATGTCAGTTGCAGTGAACCAGGTTTCAATCCAGAAGGACAAGCGGAATGCGACCGACCGACATTTGTTTCAATGTGCCGAAGCGCAGGGCAGATTTCCCCCTGCCGCTGCCGAACTTCCGTGCTCCCGGCTTCACCTGGCACTCGCCCAACGACCTTGACTGCAGCCGTCCAAATGAAAAGGTACAGTTAACCCCATATTTCTTACCTTACATATACTTGAACAAAATGTTCCGATGCACATATTATCGTATGGATCAGTTGCGAATGTGTTTTCATGCCTCTTATGTAGTGTAATTAAACCTCCCAAAAAACGTATGGATAGCATATTACTTGCAATTTGAAAACACTGCTTTGGCCAAATAACACAAACTTCTGTTGAATAAAACTGTAGAACATTACCGTAGAAGAGTATGGAGGTAGATTGATATGGGCACCTGAGCAATACCCTATCCAACCATTGTAAGGTAAAATATGAACTCTTTGCCGCGCATATCATCTCATTGAACCGCCAAGTGAAGTATCATTCAACACCCGTACCTGGGAAATTTTGACATGGAACGAGGATGGGCGATGCCACTGTCGGCGGCGAGGTGAGGCCTTGAGGGTGCCGCCAATAAGAACCACTAGACTGAACTAGAGAGCCGCAGGCCACAGCATCTCATACACGCTCCTGCACTTTCTCTTCGCCACCGCCATCTTGCCCACTCGTGCCATTCTCTAGTTTTCTGCTCCACCACGTAGTTAACAGGCTTTATCAATACTCCGTTATTTTACCGACCATAATCGGCCTGATGCACGACTCGAGTGTCCATAATCTTCTTTTGTCGCAGCCGTGCTCAACTTGCGCGGATGAATTAGGCTGCGATTTTTGCTCATGTGCAAGAGCGTGATACATCAGATCAGACGTTCTCCTGGCGTGTGGATAATCAGGGGTGCCTTGGCTTTCACGGGCCAAAAACGTGCTAACTTTCTCTTGATAGCTTACGATTAATTACGTCCTTCCGATTCACAGCTGCGCGTTATCCTTAATATCTTAATCCGGAGACGCAAGCTTAGAACGGACAGCCTTAGAGATAGCATTCAGCGGTGATTCCAAGCCACCTTAGTCAACTATAAATTTTTAGTGGAGATTAAAGGCCGCAGTAGTGAACCTGAAGTCATCCGTCCATGGAGGACACTAACAGAGATAAGTCACCGCTTAAGGCGGTCCGCTGGGCCGAGTTATCACATTCAGGCTCTAGTTCTCAGGTCGGACTTCAGACGAAACCGCGTAAGGGAAGGAAAAAGTCATTTGGCGGTACTAGTCTTACGAATTTTGAGTTATCAGTTACCAGCTGTGGCGAATCAGCTGTGGATCTCGCTGATGCGTTCGCAATTCATCCGCCTCCCGCGTTTCCACCGCAACAGCAGCACCAAGCAGAGCAACAGGTACCGTTGCGTGATCCGGAGAAGCAGGGCACGAAAACGACTCGTTCTCGACCCAATAGCGGGGAATTTGCTATCGTTGGTGCGCCCGCGGAAGGGCAGGCGGAGGATTCGGGGCAAACTGGCTGCAACGGCGCAGGCAAACGGGGGAAAAAGGGGCGGAAGAAGAGCCAGAGCGCAGCGTCGCTTCAGCCTTATGAGGAAGCACAACCAGATGGTTACATGCAGCCATGTGGTTACTCGCAACTTCAGGGAGGTTACCCGCAGAACGGTTACAACGCGCAGCAGCAGCAGCAGCCGCCGGCAACGCAGACCCAGCAGTGGCAAGACGAGTTCACGCTTCTAGTAGATGGAGACGAAACCGGCGAGCCTTGTTACCAGCCGTCCGTTCACTTCCCTCTTTCGCGATCCGTTACTGCCGGTCCGCACGCGTCTAAGCCGTTAAAGAACGGGGTATCCCGGACCGCAAGGCAGCAGAGGGCTTCGGCGGAGAGCGTCGGGGGATCATACGATGCTGAGTTGGGGAGAAACGAAGGGGGTTTTTTAGCAGAGAGGGTTCCGAGTCAGGCGCCGAATGCAGAGATTATGCTTCCGCGGAGCAAGTCGGAAGCGGGTAGGGGCGGGGTTGCGCTTAGGAGGGGGCGAGCCCGCGCGGGAGCAGTGACGATAGGGTCGGTGGGCTCTGAGGCGGAACTCGCGCAAGGGATTGTGCGGCGGGCGTCGCAGGGGGAACCGGAAGCAGAGGAGGGGATTGATCGGACGGGCGTGGTCGCACAGAGGGCGCGTGCGACGGGTGCGAAGGAACGGAGGCGACAGGCGAGCGAGGATAGCGCCAGCAGCACTAGTGGCAGCCGGGGAAGCAGCGGAAGCTCGGTAGGAGGTATGAGTATGATACACCCCCGGGCGCAGCAGCAGCAGCAGCAAGTACAGCAACCGCAACAGGAGCAGCAGCCGCAGGAGCAGCAGGAGCAGCAGATGCAGCAGAAGACGAAGCAGACGAAGCAGCATAGGAGAAGGAAGTCAGGGGGGGATGTGACGGCTGCTGCTGCTGCTGTTGCTGGTGCTCAGGCCGGGTTGCCGGCAGGAGGTCCAATAGGAGGCAACGGTTGGGGCGGAGGTGGTGGGGAGGGGGGGGCTGCAGCACTGTATGCGTCCCTGCTGGCTGTGCACCCGCCCCTGATCTCCAAATCCGGTCGACAGGTCGTTAGGGTAAGAGACTGTTGTTGGGTTGCCCCTCGACCCCGTAGCTTTTGAGAATTCTCAGAAGTCCTGCCGCACTATATGCAGCCCTACTGGCTGCGCGTCCGCCCCGTATCTCCAGGTCGTTCGGGTAGGCGCTGTTTGTTTGTCCCTCGCACCTGCAGCTGCCCGTACCTGCCCGCTGCTGTCTGGTCGTATGAAGCCATAATTCCTCACCTGGCAGCAGGCGTCTTATTACTCTTCTCCCTTCTAATGCTTCCCTCCGTTCGCCCTTCTCCCTTCCCGTCCCCCACACGCAGTGCCAGTGGTGCTCCCAGATGCTGGCAGTGCCAGCACAGCTGCAGCCGTGTCATAACTCAAATCCCCTCTCATGCTTCCCTCCGTTCCCCCTTCTCCCTTCCTGGCCCCCACACGCAGTGCCAGTGGTGTTCCCAGATGCTGGCAGTGCCGGCGCAGCTGCAGCCGTCTCACAAGGGCAAGCAGAAACTGCGGTGTGGCAAGTGCATGCGCGTGTCTAAGTATGCTGTCACTCTGCCGCCTCCCGACATGCCCGGCCTGCCGATCCTCATCCCTGTTGAGAGCGCACGAGAGGAGGGTGATGTGCAGGTTCAGGTGCAGTTTGCAGAGCAGCAGCAACATCATCTACAGCAGCAGCAGCAGCAGCTTCTAAATCATCAGCAGCAACAGCAGCAACAGTTTCTAAGTCAGCAGCAGCAGCAACAGCAGCATGAGCTTCAGCTGCAGCAGCAGATGACAGCGCGTGCTTCCCAGGGGAACGCGCAGGCGCTGGTAGAAGGGGAGGTTGCTGGGGACGGCAATGAAAACGAGCAGTGGCAGCAGCAGCAGCAGCAGCAGCAGCACCAGCAGTGGGAATTGCAGCAACAGCAGTTCCAGCAGCAGCCACTGCAGGTACCGACGCCAGTGCAGGTACAGGCAGGTGGCATGCCAGGGCCTCGATTCCCTGTTCCAAGTGCTGCAAATTCAAATGCAGCCGTTGCAGCAGCATCCTTGCCCACGAGCTTGTCGGCCTATGATGGCATGGCGCCACAAGGCATGCAGCCAATGCTGCAGCATGGGTTTCCACAGGGAGGTGGTTTTCCAGGGGGCATGAGTCCACCTCAGCAGCTTTCCCAGCAGCAGCAGCCGTTGCAGCAGCAGCAGTTTGGTCATATTCAGGGTGGTGGGGGGTTGGGTCATATGGGGCAGCAGCAGCAGCAGCAGCAGCATCAGCAGCAGCAGCAACAGTGGGTGGATGGTGTGCCCCCTTTTGCTGTGAATGGGACGTTGCAGCAGCTGAATGGCATGGCTCTATCCAATGTTCGTCCCCAGCATCTTTACACAGTGCAGCATGGGCCTATGCTGCCGTATCGACCACAGCAGCCGTCACAGCAACTTCAACAGTTTCATCAGCAGCAGCACCAGCAGCAGCAGTTGCAGTTTCAGCAGCAAAATCAGCAGCAGCAGTACCAGCATCAGCAGCAGGGGCAGCAGATTCAGTCACAGTACCAGCAGCAGCCTACAGTCATCCAAGTCTCTACTTCCCTCACAGGCGAGTCCGGTGTGGGTTTGTCCAAGGGAGGTGAAGCTGGTCAGGTGTATGCAGGTGGGGCTTACTACCAGCAAACCCAGTATATGCTGCCAGCCAGACCCCAGCAAGACGCTGTGCAACCACCACTGCAGCAAGCTATGCCACAGACGCACATGCAGATGCAGACGCAGATGCAGATGCCACAGCAAGATTTACAGCAGTGGCAGCAGCAGCAGCAGCAGCAGCAACAGCAGGGATTGGCGGCTCAGCAATCCCAGCCTGGCAGAGCATCACAGGGAGCCGCAGGCGAAGGTCACCTTTCAACCAAGCACGTCCGTAAGTCCAGTGGCGGTTCTGACTCCGGTAACACTGGCGTTTCACCTGCTCTGAGAATGCCTGCTAGTGGAGCAGCAGCAGCAGGAGGAGGAGTGGTGGCAGCAGCAGCAGATGAGAATGGGGAGGAGGTGGTGCCGAGAACAGCCTCAGGGAAGCGGTTTCAGCGGCCGGCACGGGACATGCTGGCAACAAGGCGTGTCACTGTGGGCCCGGGCGGCAAGCTGTCCACCATTCCTTCCTTTCGTGCTGCTCCTCAGTCACAGGGAGGGGCAGCAGGAGATGGTGGTGGAGAGGGAGGGGAGGTGGAGCTGCGGCGAACAGCAACAGAGAGGAAGGGAGCGAGTGCGAAGGGTGTGGGAGGGGGAGCAGCGGTGCTGATGCCACGGAGCAGGACGATGAGTGTGGGTGGGGATGCGCAGTACCGGAGAAAGGTGGTTGTGAATGGGGTTCCTGTGCCGGACCAGAGGGTGCTTGTTGCAGAGCAGAGGATTGGGGAGATCGAACCTGGAAATTACTGGTGAGAATATGCCAATTTGGCTACTTTACGTCGCGATGTCAGGCTTCCATTGTTTTCTTTCAATGTGGTTCACGAGACATTCTGGATGCAGGTATGACTGCAGAGCTGGATTCTGGGGGCCTGTTGGGAGTGCATCATTGGGCGTCATACCAGTGAGCAATCTGGATTTCCCAGGTGCATGAAGTCTGGATATGTTGTCTTGCTGTGTCACTCACTTTTTATTTTCCTTTGTTTGATTCCAGGCTTTTATGCGTGAGCTAGGCAATACCCCCATGTCTATGGATTGTTCGGCCGGTAAGAGCAAGATTCTGGTGAATGGACGAGAACTGCATCGAAAGGATGTCAAGATCCTGGCAGAGAAGGGCTTTCCCGAGACATTGGGAGGCCGCTACACGCTCGATGCAGATGGCACTCTAGTCAATGAGTTTGGACGAGTGGTGGCTAACCTTGGGAGCCTGTAAGTGTGTACAACAATTAATTAAGTTCCTAAGAGGTTCGAAACCCCTCCTGTGAATTGTATACTGAAGATTTAATATATTTTTATTTTGTGCAGGCTGGAGGATGGCAAGAAGGATGGCTTATTTATGAAAGCTGGGTCGGAGATCAAGGTCAAGCAGAAGAAATAACACCTCTAACGTTTGTCAGGAGCACTTGATATCCAGTGTGAATTATTTGTTAAATTTCGCATATTCTCTTGGCGCAGCCCCCCCAAATGCATTCCTTCGACTGTCGGTCGACGTTTCTTCGCATCTGTAACGGCTTTCACCAAATCGTCGCAGGCCTGTTGCAGGATTCCGTTTCCCTGACGAACAGCGGACGTCGAGTTTTCCTTCTCCTATTTGATGTCGAACCTCGAAATTCTCAGGTTCTGCGCCAAGCCACAACCTTGATTCTGGCTCGGTGTACTTCTGTCAGGAATTTTGGCTTCTGCCAAGCCTCGCTGGGCCTTGGCCTGGCCTGCACTTTCGTTTGCGACAAAGCGAACAGTGCCCGTTGGCTCGGCATAACCAGGGAGAGTTGACAGCACCAGCAGCACCTGCAGCAGAGCAGAAGCAGCGCTCATTCCAGTGAACTCCAGTCTCCTTTCTATCCAATCCCCGTTCGCCTTTCTTCCTTTTTCACGTTTAGTGCACTCGATCTTTTCCATAAGTGATCTGGAGCAAACTGTTATGCCGCACGGACATTGCCACTGCAAACGCTGCTGGCGGATTTCCCGGTCTGACAAGTTTTTGCGACGGGGTGGTACGCACTAAGAACACCATTATTAGGTATCTAAAGCCACGCCTGTCTGTTTTAGGTCGTCGACGCGTTTCATTATTTCCGCGCGATTGTCGAAAGGTTCGTCAAGGATAAGCGTCGTGCTCATTTGAAATGGGAACATGCAAGCTCGCACACCTTGATCAGTAACACCAAGGGATTGATGTTTCTTTCCCTCCGTCCCTTTACCTAGAAGTTTTGTTATTGCAAAATGGCTAGCCTCCAACCACCTGGTAGGAAAGTACGACCTCAGCAAGATCCTTACATTTCTGGTAATGGCTATCACGCCGATGGACACCCACACAGACCACGAAGTGGAAGTCTCTCAAACTCCCACATAACTCCAGCCGACTCCTGGGACGGCCGGCAGGCTCCAGACCAAAATCACATCCCACAAAACCAAGCTCAGTCTTTCCAGCAAGGAATGCAAGTTGGAGCCCAGCAGCACAGCATGCAGCATGGGGTGCACGAGACATCCGCTCAGGGCCAGCGGGGATCCATGCACGTGGATCCGAACACCAGCATCGCGGCCCAGCGCGTGCTAGCGGCGCACAAGGCGAAGCACCTGCACGTGGAGGTCGATTCCCCATCTGGCGTCCCCTCGCACGGGGGGAACTCGAGCGGGGCTATCGGGACAGGAGAGGGTCCGGAGTTCCGCGAGCCCGCGCAGCAGCAGCTTCCGCCGATTCAGGGGCAGGCGGCTCCAGGCGAGGGGGCTACCGTTCCGCAGCCGCTACTGTCAAAGTCAGGCCGACCTGTTGTGCGGGTAAGTTATCAAACGCTCGTGTATAGGCAGCCGGAGGAATCAGCGACCATTCTTTGCATCCGTTCCTTTTCCTTGCTTCGTTGTCCTTGCGTTGCCTACATCGTTGTCCCTGCATGTTTCCAAAATCCGATCTCGTCCCATCGCAGTGCCAGTGGTGCTCCCAGATGCTCGCCGTCCCGCCAAAACTGGAGCCGAGAGACGGAGTTCAGAAACTGCGTTGTGGAAAGTGCCTCAAGATCTCCAAGTTCTCGGTCTTCTTCCCTCCCGCGGGCGGCGTTCCTGTGCTCATGCCCCTTTCCGCCTCTGGCCCTCTCCCCGGTCCGCCCTCTGTAGCTGTTTCGCGTGTTGCGGCCCAGAGCCAGCAACCCCTACTTGTGCAGCCACAGTTGCAGCAGCAGCAAGGACAGGCGGTGTCGGAGGAGAAGTGGTTGCAACAGCCGCCGCAAGGTGTGGCCCCGCTGCACGCTTTCCAGCAACAGCCGCAGGGCATGAGTTCCGTGCAGCCGCAGCAAGCACGGCAGCCTTCGCCGCAGCTCATGCCGCAGCAGCAGCAGCAGCAGCAGCAGCAGCAGCAGCAACAACAGCATGCAGCGGTGCAGGGTTATGGGCAGGGTGCGCTAGTGCAGCAGATGGGCGGGTTGAGCATGGGCGAGTCGTTCAGTCAACAGCCGTACTCTATGGCGCCTCAGATGCCGCAAGGGATGAGCCAGCAGGGAGTGGTGCAGCAGGGCATGGGGCAACAGGGCATGGGGCAGCAAGGCATGGGGCAGCCAGGCATGGGGCAGCAGGGGATGGGGCAGCAAGGCATGGGGCAACAGAGTATGGGGCAGGTGTATCAGCAGCAGGCTCATGCACCTGGGCATATGCACCCTCCACAACAACAACAACAACAACAACAAGCGGTATCTCAATACCAACAACAGATGGTTGGGGGAGCGCAGCAGCAGTATGCCAACTTCACACAGCCAGGCATAACTGGGCCTGGAGGGTTCATGCCTCAGCAGCAGCAGCCGCAGCACCCACACCAGCAGCAGCAGCACATGCACTTCCAGCAGATGCAGAATCAGCCCATTCAGCAGCAGATGCAGCAGCAGATGATGCAGCAAGCGCAGGGCCAACAGCAGATGAGTCATCTTACACCCGTACATGCCTCTCAATCCCCCGTGCAAGCCTCAGGCTTCGCAGCTAGCCCCCTCTCTCAGAACCTCTCACCCTCCATGCCCATGTACCATCAAAGCTCAGGCCCTCCGCAGCAGCATCAGCAGCCACTCCACCCATACCAGCAGCAGAGCCCCATGCAGGGTCGCAGTCACATGGGCAAGGTAGCATACGGGCATCAAGCACCCAGACCTCCTCTATCCGGGGGGAGCATTGGGGGGCATATGGAGAGTGAGGAGGGCTTGCCAAGGCAAGGGTCAGGGAAACGGTTCCCCAAGCAGCCGCCACAGCCCCCCATGGACCCACAAGCTGCCACCAGACGGTACCTCACAGGCCCAGGGAAGTCCCTGGCGGCATCAGTAGGCTTTAGAAGCGCGTCCCTCAATGAACACCAGATGCAGCAGCAGCAGCACGGGGGTGCGGGGATGGGGCCGCCTGCAGACCTGCCCTTCAGGCGCACTGCCACGGAGTACAGTGGGCCGCCCGGGCGGGCAGATGCGATGACGGTGGCGCCTAGAAGCTCCACGCTGGGCGGCGAGGGGCAGTACCGGCGCAAGGTGTATGTGAACGGGCAGCCCGTGCCAGACAAGCTTGTGTTCTTGGCTGAGAGGCGGATTGGAACAATTGAGCCAGGCAGCTACTGGTATGTTGTGCACTGCGTTCTTGGAAGAAACAGGTTCTTGCTCCGTGCTGCGTATAGGGTGGAACATGCTGCTAGTGGTGTGCTGTTTGGGTGCACAATGGAAGACTGGCATGGGTTCATGTATTGCCTTCTTTCTTGTCGTCCCATCTTGTTTTTCTCCACCCGTTTCTCCTTGTTCCATGTTCCAGGTACGACTGCCGAGCTGGCTTCTGGGGCCCTGTGGGAGGCCCTGCATTTGGAGTCACTCCGGTGAGTCACTTCTTGATTCCTGGAGCAGACTGGGCGTGTTGACGGTTGGTTGATAAAAGATTCTACCACAGTAGCATCAGAAAGGCCTTACTTTATCCTGGGCTGTTAGTTCTTGCTGTTTCTTGTTGCACTGCCTAAATGTAGCTCGTCTGCTTCCTCCTGTCTGTTGTTTCCCAACCAACAGGCGTTTATGAGGGAGTTTGGCATGCAGCCGATGCAGAGTGATTGTTCTGGAGGCAAGACTAAGGTGTTCGTAAATGGGAGAGAGCTGCACAAGAAGGACCTTGCTACTCTGATGAAGAGGGGTTTCCCGGACACTCCTGGTGCTCGGTACACTCTGGATGCTGATGGCACAGTCTGCAATGAGGCAGGCCGACACCTCTTTGCCATGGGAAAACTGTAAGTGAAGCTCTATTGTCAAGCCGAGGTAGTTTGAGGGGTCTGTCAATGTATACAGCTTGCTAAATTTATTGTGTAGACAGTGAGATGCCTGGACCCTAACCCCTTTCATGCCCCATCATGCTTTTGTGTGTACCTTTGTCAGGATGGTGGACAAGAAGAAGGGTATGTACATGGTGAAACCCCAATAACACGGAGCTCGCATCAGCATGGAAGTAAATCATGAGATCAACTATCTAACTGATTGCAGCGGGTGCTTGTTTCAGTCATGGGTGCTAATGAACCTGTGTTCATTGCAGCTGGCACATCTGTTCTTGCAACTTGACTTACTGGACTTGTTGAGATCATTCTGAACCAACCAGGAAGTGACATTCTGGTGTATATGTGGAGACCATTTGCTCAGAGTACATTCAGTAATACAGCTGAGGGGAGTATACTCATACAGTATGCCTCACACATCAATAATGAAGTTCTCGTGTCCAGCCTGCAGAGAACAATTTGTTCCGCCCAAGTCACAAATCCTCATGTGCTCCCAAGATTCCCGGAACCTGACAAACGCATCGGACAGGAGGACCAACCAACGTGCTTCTCCGCCAGAAAGTGTATTTGCCCGTTTTCGTGGCTCTGATGTCTCCAGTTCCTCCCTACCCGTATCCTCCTACGTTCACGCCGGCGAAGAACCGCTTAGTACTGTACGTTCACGCTCGCGAAGAACCGATTAGTATGTGCATTTTGTAGAATCAGTGTTTACACGCTCGCTGTCTCCGAAACGTTTCTCGATCTTAGGAATTCGCAGGCCTTTTCAGATGAGCTTGGTCGGTGCTTGTTAACTGGGGATCATTCTCCGATCCAGCCAACAACTGTAGTCATGGCGACCAGATTAGCTTCTTTTGTTCTTCGTGCAAGAAAGCAGGTGTGTATTAGGGGCACGTAGCATTCACGATCAGGCTGCACAACTTACTAATTCAGGATATTATCGTGATACTCGCAGGACTGGCTAAGACCTGGGACGTCCAGATATGCCTGGCTTCTAGAGCGACAGTTAACCACGGCTTCCTTAGGTATGCTGCGGCATTTGCGATGCGGAGTCTTGGTCATATTCTGATACTGATTCTAGTGAAGTCTTGTGCAGGGGACAAACAAGACGAAACCAGCAGGACCCCTCCGATTAGTGCTTCACAGGTTAGCTTCACCGCAATATGAACTTGCGTGGAAAGTCTCGTAGAGAATCCGATTCTGAACGCGCCGTGCTTTTCCTTTTCAGGAATCAACTAGTCCTAAGCCGTCTGCGGGATCAAAACCGAAGCTTCGGCCTTTGCTGCCAAAAGCAGACGGTAGCCTACCAGAGGCCGTCAAAGTCGCCGCTAAGGCCTGCGGAGTGCAAAATCCGACAGTGAAACGAGTAGCAGAGGGCGTGACGTCTACCACACCCACCAGAGTTTTTGAAGTACCTGAGCTGATCGAAAATGACAAAGTTCTCCCAGACATGTCCCCAGTAGTGGTGCCTAAGGGTTACATTGATCCGGTTATCCCTGAAGTCTGGGGTCGGGTCCATTCCATTGAGTCGTTTTCGGCCGTGGACGGGCCTGCCATTAGATCCGTAGTCTTCGTGCAGGTGAGCGACTACAACTCCCGCTTTTTCTCTTGTTTGTAGTCTGCATACTATTGCACAAACGAGAAGCGGTGGTCTTACTGTGCTGCCTGGGGAACAGGGATGTCTAAGGCGCTGTGTTTTCTGTGCCAACCCAGATACATGGAGGTGAGTTTCCAATGCTCTTCTCTGCCTACTCGTCACCACTGTAGCTCGCCCCTCATGCTGTAAGCCGTCCGTCGATGTTCAATTGCAGTGTGACAGCCAAGTGTCAACGGCTATCATCCAAAGACATTGCTGCACGGTTGAAGAAAAACTTGGCGTATTATAAAGGCGGTGGTGGGGTGACTATTTCAGGAGGAGAGCCAATGATGCAGCCTCACTTTTGCAGTGCTGTTTTCAAGGAGGCTCACCGACTGGGAATAACAACAGCACTCGACACAGCAGGTAGCTTCTGGCATCTGTTATTGCTGCAGTAAGGTTGAGCTTGCTGTGCTAGTTTCCATGCTTCCCTTCTTAGTGTTGGCTTGAGTAGCTCATGCTCTCTCTCGTCGGCTCATCATTCCGGCCAATGCAGGATACGGCAGAGCCAAAGACTGGGCTGAAGTTCTTCCACACACTGACACTGTTCTCCTGTGCACAAAGGCCATGAACCCTAAGCTCTATTTTGACATGGTACAAGTGAAGCAGCAGCTGTTTCTGGACTTCGCAAAAGCAGTGGGAGATTATGGCGTCCCCATGGTCATACGCTTTGTTCTGGTCCCAGGCATGACTGACACAAAGGAGGAGGTGGAGGGTCTTGTTGAATGGGCAAAGCAACAGCCAACATTGGTTGGAATCGAAATGCTGCCATATCACAGACTAGGGGTCAACAAGGTAAGACTGCTGTAGCACGTCACATTGCATTTGCTGGAGCATTCTTTCCAGTTCCTTGACATCCTTTTCTGAGTCTGTTCACTGTGCAGTGGGAAGCATTAGGGCTGAAGTATCCTTTGGATGGAATGGTGCCAAGCCCAAAAGAAGTCGTTGATAATTGGCGGTCATACATCGCCTTGCAGGGGCTAAAAGTGATGCTCTAGTTTTTCCATATTATACCATTGTTTGAGTAGTTGCTGTAATATTGTAAATTATATGCATGTACTGTAGCTGATCTGAATATGCATTCGATTTCCTCAAAATAGCAGCAACAACAGCTCTTCGGGGCACCAATGGTTCAACCCCACCACCACACCACCGCTTACAGATGCAGAAGTGCGATTTGTTGATGTTCCACCAAGCGCTGCGCTGATGCATCGTAGCCACATATTGTTCGTGCTGCGGTGGACGTTGTTTTCTGCTGACGCGAATGGGATTCCCAACGACGCCACCACTTATTCGGGTTCTTCTCACATCTTCGGGTCTGCTTTCCCTTCCTAGTAGTCACCACCACCTTGAGATCATCCCGCAAGACGGATTTTACGAGTCTGTGAGAAGCATTTCTGAAAGCAGTTTCAGCATTCATGAATGCTACCAGCAGCAACACAGGGCCTATTGTAAGATGAAATAAGGTTTATTCGTAACGCCAAGGGACCACAGAACAGGCAAAGCCATTCTGTCTCCACAGTTATCTTGTGCTTCTGTCCTGACCTCCAGCCGAAAGCAGAGGGTTGAAACATTTCCCCGTCATGCCTGTGCTGTCGGTCACTACTCTTGTCGCTATTCCTCCATCACCTTGTGTTTCAGCCCTTGGCGGCACCAATGCGTCTCCTGAATTTCATATAAACTTTGGACAAACAGACCACCGCGCATCACGACCCTGTAGGCGTCATGTTGACTCAGCAGCGCGTTCCCGGCACGATCTGTTGCTGGTTCCAGCTCGTGCCTCCCACGTACTACGAGCAGTAGTCAACGCGGACCACGAAGTAGCAGCAACGACAGCTGGTCAGATAGAGCAGGCGTCAACCAGCAGCGAACGAGTTGAGAAGGATGGCCAATTAGCAGCGTCTGTCCCCTCGCCCGACGATGGCGTCATACCGTCAACTCACCACACATTTGAAGTTGTTCGCGTGACGGAGGATCCGCAACTCTGGGTATGGCTGCTTGTAGAGGCGTGGTGAAGGTTGGCTTACATCTCGTCGTGACATTTTGCTACCCAAAATTATACCTCCACATTTTGCTGGTGTTAGTACTTATAGGAGTAAAGTCTGACCACTGACTCACGTTCCCTTCGTTTTCCCTGATACTTCCAGGCAGCAGCGGCTCTCAGAGCAGAAGCTTTATGCGAGACGGAACCCCATGTGAGGTGAGAGGAGGCGTGTTCTGTGTATAATTGACGCGAATTCACCGCAGAACATGAAACCTTGAGCTCGAGTGGTAATACCGTCACTTGTCCGTATTGCGAAATGCGAAGGCACGTGGCATTGCGTTTGCTTTTCTTTGCTCCTGACCGCGCTAGATGTCATAAGCATTTGGACTGTCTAGTGTTCACACGCATAAATTCCCCCCAGGATATCCTTTCACATCGTTGCTGACACTGTTTACTCACAGGTTCGTGGACAGCTTCAAGAAACGGTTCACTGAGCAGGTGAGGTGTAGAAGAGTGAAAGACATTTCAGCTCAAATTTAAGCTATCAACTTCATGCAGGTTTTACCTGCTGCACTATATGCCTCATCTCTGCAATTCTCTGATGCTAGATCGCTGTCTTCGCCTATTGTTGCCTTTCTGCCGCTGTCTGTCCCTCACCTCCCAGGAATTCCACTCAATGAAACGGCGCATCAACGGGACTACAGCGCAATCGATCCGCTGCGTCTGCCTTGCTGCTGTGCAGACCCAACCAGAATACAGCATCAACCAGCTTTCTTTGCATCAGCGTTCTCCTTCTGCCAGTCCCACTATTCACACGAAGGACTCCTTGATAGCAGCTGCTGAATCAGCACAATCAGGCAACGATGCAGCAGCTCTGGAGCACAGGTTGGACGAGGCAGAAGCGGAGAGAGAAACCGTCGAAATGCCAAATGGAAGGCATGGAGCGGAATTAGCAGCTGCAAATGCAGCAGGAGGGGTTGCAGGCAGAGGGGTTGTTTCAAGGCAGAAAGTAACTGAGATGGAGAGAGTGATGGGTACTCTTGACATCAGCTTAAGACGACTGGGGTCTAGTGAGATCTTTCCAGGGGTGAGAAACATTCTTTTGAAACCGTCTACACTGGTTCCTTGCACTACCTGATGATAGCCAGCACATGAGCGTGCGCCCCTGTCATGTCCTTTCCCCATGACTGGATGGTGCGAGCCCTGACCCCAGATGAGCTATTTCTGCTCTTCCTTGCCCTCTTGCTTGCAGGTCGAGCGCCCTCGCGAGTCCTCCAACTTCTTGGTATCCCTGCCTTCCTCCGCCCTCACTGCTCTCTACACCACGGCCAACGGCCTGCAAGCTGCTGTGAGCGACATTCAGTCTGCTGTCGTTGACATTGGATCTGCTGTGAACGGCATCCAGTCGGCTGTGAATGACATTGGATCCGCTGCAAACAGCATCCAGTCGGCTGTGAATGGTATTGGGTCGGCTGCAAACAGCATCAGCATCCAGTCAGCCGTGAACGGTATCGGGTCGGCTGTGAATGGTATCGGGTCAGCTGTGAATGGCATTCAAGCTGAAATTCGCCGGTACCCTTCCACACTGCCTACCTCTGCCTCCTCTCTCCTCAACAACGCCATCTCTGACCTCCAGGTAACTTCGCTACCCCACATTGGGATATACTTCTACCTCACATACCTGGATAGAGAAACAAATTTGAGGCTTTCCCCATTTGGTTCCACTTTCCCATCTTGATGTGTGACCTGTACTCTTGTACTGTGATAGTTGAGATGCACTAATTTTCCTGTTTTATTGGGCTGTGCAGGATGCATGGCAGGCAGTGGCGCAGGAGAGTGACGAGAGAGCTCACCAGTTTACTGGCTTAGTGGTAGCTGAAGCCATCCTTCCGCAGAAAAATGAGATGAGCCGGTCGCAGCAGGCAGTCCAGCAGAAGCAGCCGAGTGAAACGAGGGAGCACCAATTACATGAGCAAAAACAAGAAGCCCCAATGGCGGGACAGCAACTACAAAAGCAGATGCAGCAGCAGCAGCAGCAGCAGCATGAATTGCCAGGGCAAGTGGCGTTGGAGCAACCATACTATGCGTACATATCAAATGTGTGCGTTTCAAACAAATTCAGGCGACAAGGGATTGCTGCAGCTCTCATGCGTGCTGCAGCTGACATTGCAGCAGAATGGGGTGAGTTATAAAGGGGTGCCGTGTAAGATAGGGTGGGTTAAGTGTGGGCCAATATATCTATTTCCATGCTTGCCTTCTGTTCATGTACTCAACACTCCTTTTGCTTCCATGTGTATGTGTGGCCTGCACTTGGCTTTCTGTGTTAATGAGCGTGCTCTTCAGGTGCTGAAGAGGTATATGTCCACGTGCATGCGTCAAACACAGCAGCGCATCATCTCTACCACCAGCTGGGCTATCAAGTACGTATATTTGCCAATAATTCCCTCATCAACTGTTACTCATGCCCAAATTAACTGCTCAATCGTCGCTTTAGTCCACATAATACATTAACCCATACTAGCCTCTGTTCTTCCGGCCTGTCTTTTCATCCCTGTAACCCGTTATTCACTCCACTTGTTCCCCACTCACAGCTTCTTGAAACCCCAGCAGCGCCCAGTGCCCACATCTTCCCCGTGTGGAAGCCATCAGGAAACCATGTTTCACTCGATGATACTCTGCTGCTGCGGCTGGCACTCAATGAAGCAAAGCCACAAAGATGAGATGAGGAAACACTGAAGCTCGAGTCAGCCATATCACTGCCACACAACTACCTTTCATTATTTAGATGTTCCTACTTGCTGCTAACGTTCCGGGGAAGCACCCTAGGCACAGTTAGTGGGTTTCAGATATAATTATTTCATTCATTCCGCAGTATGCTCAGGAAAAAGTCCGATAGCAATTCTTCATACCCATGCAGCTTGGCAAAGCCTGGAAAGTAGTTGACATCTATAATAAAGAACCTGGTGGGGCATGCAACAGACCTCACAATGTCGACATTGAAAAGCCTCAACCCCAGCTGCTCCCGCAAGTGTTCTCCCAAAGCATCCGCCACTCCATCAGGCAGAGGGCCAGGCCAAAGGTCGTCTGTACCCATGTTCAAGCTGCTGCCTGTGCTGCTGCCAGCATTGGGAAGATGAGTAGGCTGAGGTACAGGGGCATTTGATACCTGGGAGAAAGGTAGATAACCAGGACAAACATCCGCTTGGCATTGAGAAGGGGCTACATCGGGAAGAGATGGGCGAACCTCACATCGCACGGATGAGCCAACAACATAGAGCTTCGTGAGACGGCTGCCGTGGTTGATGAATTGCTGCAGGACAATAGAGGGCTCTTTGCAAGCTTCCTGAGCAGGAACAGAAGCAGCTGCTGGATTACAAGCAGTGGCAACAGCAGCAGAAGAGGCAGGGGAGGTATTCTTCGGTACTGCAGCAAGGGAATTGGCAAGAGCCAAGAGGCCATGAGTGTTGAAGACGAGAGAGAGCGAGTGAGACGCAGAGCTTCCATTAGCTTCCACAGGCTTGGCCACCAGAGGAAAAGAAAGACCTTGACTCTGTAGAACGTCATGCAAAGCCGAGGAGCCACCTGGGCCATCTTGAGGATTTCTTGCTAGCCGCCGTAGCTCACTTAGAGTAAGCACCATCTGCTGAGGCACACATACGAAACAACCAGGTACTATCTCCCATTTCTGGCCCTCTCCTTCGCCTTCTCCATTTTGCGAACCTCCCGTTACGTCCACTCCCAGTACTGCCTTCTCTTCTCCTGCCAGCTTCAAGATTTCAGTGGCCTGACACGTGTCAGCATCAGGAAGCAGGCCTTGAAGCATAGAAGCGCGGTTACACACGCGAGCGATTCTCTCTGGAGGGTCCACAATTCGCCCAGCGAAAGTGGGAAATTGTTCAGCTAAGATCCGCAGCTGATCAGCCCATTCCGCCGTGAGCACCTTATGCACCACCGCATCAAACGGCGGTTTATGCGGGACATCTGTGGCGTGCTCGTTTTCCTCGCTACTACTCCGGTACTCCAGAAGATTTCGGGAAGGATCAACGGGAACGATTTCAATGCCCTTCACGGAACATGCTGCGATCAGCGAAGGCGTCAGGACGGATCGCACCTTCTTTGGCGCGAAAGCGCATGCGATGCGGTACCGTGATGGCGATGAACGGACGTAATCGCTTGCGGGGTCGCGAAAGGGCAGAGTGTCCATTACACCAATAGCTGGAGGGCACTGGCGAAATTGATGAATTGCTGGAAAATTGATCCATGTATGTGAGGATGTGCAAATTTGGCTGGAGTTCAACAACGCCAAGCACATGACTGTTGTCATTTGTAGAACTTGTTTTTTTCGCGCATATAAGAAAACGAATGTAAACGTCCACAAATGTACGCGATTGTAGCTTTGAGGTACATCCCAACCGTGAAATACAAACATTCAATTGAATCGACGGTTGTAAACGACTCCCGCATTCATTTTCTGTGCAGCGGTTTCCGAGCAACGCCCACGAAAAACCAAGCAGCTTCGTCCATCCAGTCTGGGCTGCTTCATTCAGGCACGGAATTTGGCTTTGTCGTATTTCTGTGACAGGCTTCTGGCTCAACTCTGGCTTTCTGATCTTCGCTTGCTTGCATCTTGTTCTTGCGTTTCTTGTCGCCGCACCTTCCATGGCGGATATATTTGAGGAGGAGGAGGAGGCGCTGACGGCAGACGAGTACGAAGAGAGAGTCGAGGTGCGTGTCTCATTTTTCTTTCACTAGCTCTGCTTCACATAGCAGTCTTATTCTTGTAGTAGACTTGTACAAATCCACAATTTCGTGTGATCCATTAACGCATGTTAGACGCACGGCGCATGAACGTTATGCCTGCTACAGGAAGCGTTCGCGGTGCTCGGTGCGGATGATCCCGACAAGTGCACATACGACATGGGCTACCGTAAGCGACAGGCTCTCTATTCCTGCCTTACGTGCGTTCCTCCGCCCAAAATTCAAACTCCTTCCAAGGAAACTGAAGAAAGCGGTGGAGGAACTGGAGGAAGCAGTCGTGAGGATCCACGAGGAATATTGCCTGATGATTGGAAGCCGGCTGGAATTTGCACTTCATGCTCACTGAAGTGTCATGATGGGCATGAGGTAATAATCATTTTCATCACGTCTATTCCACACCTTTGCCCTTCCAGGCAGCACCTTTTCTGCAGCTCCGTCCCTAACACATACATCCCATCCCTTGCCATTCCCCCTAATTCGTTAGCTTGTGGAGCTCTATACGAAGCGTCGGTTCCGGTGTGACTGTGGCACATCCAAGTTTCACGGGTCGGTTGTTCCTTCATGCCAGCTGAAACCTGACAAAGATCCTTTGAACGAGCGCAACGAGTACAACCAGAATTACGCGGGTGTATACTGCAACTGTCGAAGGCCGTATCCTGATCCAGAGGCTGAAGCCCAAGACGGAGAAACGGACATGATACAGTGTGTTGTGTGCGAAGATTGGTTCCATGAGCATCATCTGGGCCTTGAGCCCGGGTTTGAGGTATGCCTTACAAGCCTGCTTGAGTTGTTCTGGCATATGCAGCATATATGGAATCCAACTTGCGGTTCTGCCTTTTTGCAGGCTCCTGAGGAATTTTCGAACTTGATTTGTGACCACTGCGCCTCCTTGACGTGCCGTTTCTTGAAGTTGTATCCTCACCTCCTGCTAGCTCCAGAGCGTGCTGGTGACGTTTCTTCATGTGGGAATGAAAACGAAATCAAAGTGGTGAGCAAAGAGGAAGCGGATGCCAATGGGGACGAAGCAAGTATCGAAGTTCCAGACATCAAAGTATGCAATGAAGCAGTAGCCGCTCATGGACATCATGCTGAGGATGTGGATGCTGTCAAACCTCAGCAGTCTTGCTCATCTCATGAAGGCCCTCTTGATGTACGTCCTGGTCGGGAAACAATGGTCGCAGACAGTGAAGCAGACTGCAAGCTAGCCTCTATTCTGAGGGGGCGAACTTTAAGCTCTTTTTTCAAAAGAAAAACTGCGGGTGACTCAACAAGCACTGCGAAGGTTGAACACTTGCCAACGGGTCCGAATGTCACTGATGGTTCTGTAGAGGCAACTAGTGGAGTTGCAGACGCCGATGCTGGACTCGGCTCAGATGATTCCGAAGTCGGCCCTCTTTTTCTAACAGTTGGGTGGAGGGCCTCCATCTGCAACTGCCAAGATTGCACCAGGTGTGGCTTTGATCAGGAGTTCTGCTCTAGATTTTTGTTCATGTCTAGTGCCTCTCACGTTACATGTTGCTGCTCATTTCAGGTTCTACAAGGAGCAAGGGGTGGACTTCCTAGTTGATGTCGAGGATACTGTCGAATTTTATGAGGAAGAAGCAAAGAAGAAACGGCAACAGAAGGAGGAGGAAGCTAGTGTACAGGTTGAAGCTCAGTTTCAGAGCATGGACCGGGTTGCTCAGTTGGAAATCATTCATGGCCTGAACAGCTTCAAGTCCGACTTTCAGAAGTTTTTGGTAAGTCCGAACACCAGAATGTCATTATAGCTGAACCTTTTCTTCTCCGGCAAGGTCTGTCAGCAATTCAATGCCACATGTTGCCATAACAACCCATTCCCACCCCCCCCCCCCCCCCCCCCCCCCCCCCCCCATCCTCTTCCGTTCCTTAAGCCCAAGTCCTTTCCTTCCCCCCGTCCCTCCCCTCCCTTACCCTCCCTTCCCTCCCTCCCTCCCTTCCCCTCCCTTCCCCTTCCCCTCCCTTCTTCCCCCTGCCCCCTGTCGCTCTTCTTACCTCATGAAATTTTCCTTCCCTTGCAGACAAAATTTGCAGGTACAGACCATGTGGTTACTGCACAAGATGTCAAGCAATTTTCCGAGGAGCAGAAAGCAAAGCGCGTGCGTCATTCATGAGGTTATTGTACATAAGGCTGATATACCGTATCGCCCCGGATAGTAGCGCCGCCTGATTTTAGGCGCCGGCGCTTCTATCTGGAGCCATGCGCTTATGGCCGGTCCTCAATTATAAGCGCACCCCCTAGAATGCCTGTACTTTTTATAAGCGCATCCCTTCCCCCCCCAGGGGGCAATCTTTCCACCTTTTTTTTATATCTACACATGTTAACCTACACTAACATCTCTTCTACAATTGCCTCTACCAATAATCTCATTTCACACGAAAATTTACGAACATTCCTAACTAACAATCTACTCGTCGTCAGACTCTGGCTCCTCGCAGTTGTTGGCGAAGAAGCCGTTGGCGATGATCTCGTCATCGACGTCGACCTCGTGGGTCAGCTGGCTCCGCCTGTGCGCCATGGCAAGGTTGTCCTCACTGCCGTCAAGCGCGTTGCTGATGCCGCAGGTGAGGAACGCCTTCTTGATAAGCTCAGGTGGCACGGCCTTCCAGGCCCGTGAGATCCACCTGAGCACCACCGCAGGGGGCGGCTTCTTGATGTTCCCTGCACCACAAGTCCGAGTGGGGGGGATGGTGTTAGAACCAAATACGGGCGGAAAGGAACCTGCTCTCTAACCATCAATGGTGAAGTTCTTACCTGCAGGCGTCAGCCGCTCCTGGCCCTCCTCTTCAAACCAGGTCTGGTACTGCTGGCGGATTGAAGCTTTGAATGACTTGTTGATGGCGACGTCGAGAGGCTGTACTTCCGCCGTACAGCCTGACGGAATCACCGCCGGAACGATGTCGAGGTCGACGAACTTCTGCTTCACTTCGTCCGTGAGATGTCCGCGGTAAGAGTCGAAGACGACCATGGCGCTCCTCGCCTGCCTGCCGAACCGAGGTCGGATGAAGGGCTTGACACACTCCTCGAGCCAGCGCATGACGCCGTCAGCGTCCATCCAGCCGTTCGGGTGCACCGCCACGACGACATCTGTGATGTCATAAACGGTAAAGAAACATGCGTTAGTATAGACGACACGAAAACCAAACATTAAGAACCGCCGTGAGTTCTTACCAGGCGGGAAGTCACCCTTCGGCAGAGTCTTCCGCTTGAAAAAGACCCACGGCTTGAGCTTCTCGCCGTCGGCCGTGCACGCCAGCATCACGGTCACGCGTTCCTTCTGGTACCCCCCGCTCCTGATGGGCACTGAGCGAACGCCCGTCTCGTCCACAGTAGTCGTGGCGGGCATCTCCAGCCACAACGGTGTCTGGTCGGCGTTGATGATGTAGCGGGTTTCGATGCCGCGCTCACGCCGCTTGTCTCGAACGTACTGCTAGAAAGCCTGGCACAGCTCCGCGACATCTGCACACACACAGCCAGTGTTGAGAGACAACGGTTAGTCAGTACCGTTGATTGAAAATCAGAACAAGCACACGGTACAGGAAGATATTAATCTTACGCTCGGCGGTTTTCTGAGCAATCCTCGTCTTCATGCGCACGCTCAGATTCCACCGTTTCCGAAACCTCTCCGACCACCGCTGGCTGCCCTTCCACTTCACGTCGGGGAACAGAACCTTCATGAACTCCTTGGACCACTCCTGCAGGCGACCGACGGAGACGGCCGTTCCTTTGCGGCGCCACTCCAGAAGCTTCGCGTAGACTTTCAGCTCCATCGGCCTGTACCACGATGCCCTCCCTCGCCCGTGCATCCGCTTCCGTGCTGAGTGCGCTTCTTTGAGCATGTCGGCGGCTTTCTTCCACTCCGCCAGACATTTGCGGTGGATTCCAGACTCGCGAGACAACGACCGCAGCGACACCGCCACTTCCATGCGCCCAATCCACTGCAGCTTCTCCTGCGCGGTATAAGCGTTACGCTGATGCCGGGAGGGCTTGTGCCTGGGAGAGGGGGGGCGGGCATCACGGTTCTCAGAAGAGGGGTGGGGGCGCTTGCGGTTAACAGGAGGAAACGAAGGAATTGGAAGCTTCTCGGGAAGTCCGTCGCGCGACCAATACTCCACGCCGTCGTCGTCCTCGCCGCCCGGGGCACCCTCGGGATATACGTCTGCCGCGGTGCCGGCCTCGGCGCCAGTGTCGGTTCCAGTGTCGGTGCCGGCCTCGGTGCGAGCCTCCGTGTCGGGCACATCGTCGTCAGCGCCCACACCAGATTCGTCCCATGCACAATCTTGCGGCTGGCCCCATCGTGGTGCCGGCGGCGGAGCTCGAACGTAGACGTCGGGGGGCTTGTTGCTGTGAGGTTCAGATAGGTACTCGTCGAACGCCGACGGGTGCAGGAGCGTCAGCACAGGAGGATTTGATGGGCCTGCAAACACGGGGGGACTTGGAGGAGCAGGTGGTGCTGGAGGTGTAGGAGGACATGGAGGAGATGGAGGCACCGGCGGCGCAGGAGGCTGTGGTGGCTCTGGGGGCGATGGTGGGATACGGGTATACCAGCCATCAGCGTCGACACGGTACGCGGGCCTAGGTTTCTTCTTAAAAAGGAAGTGGGTGCCAGTGAATTCCGCCATGGCTTCTGCAGCCTGGCGGGCGAAACATGTTAAACTGAATCAAGGCAAGCAAGAAATGAGAAGAAATGGGCTTCGGACGGGACCCCTGCGGGGAAGCGGCTCCGTCCTCATCAATGATAGACGGGTACCCCCACAGTCTGAACCCGCAGAGGAGGGAAATGGGCGGCACACATGCTGCGGTCGCAGGGCATATCCGATCCCTTCTAGAGGGATCGGATGAGTTGTCCTTGCCTGGCAACGCATGCGAACGGGATTGGGCCGCATGGCAGCTTCCGAGTCAGCGTTGGCAGATGCGTTGCTCGGGGACAGGATTTGTGCGGTGGGTAATCGAGCCGCGGCTGTTTTCGCCTGCATTTCATGCACGAAACCGACGTGAACGTTTTACGGGCGTGTTCGCCTTAATGGGAGCTTCGATTTGGTACCCTTAAAAACAAAATTCATTATTCCATTTCTTAAGCGCATGCGCTTATGCCCCAATTTCCTCAATTATAAGCGCACCCCCTAAAAAAATCGATTTTATTATAAGCGCATATGCGCTACTATCCGGGGGGATACGGTAATAAGAACCCACCAACATGCATATGGTTACATGCTTTTGTTTAGCCACATGCAGTACTCCAGAGTAATGGATGTCAGCATGTGTCGCATCGGCATATGGAAATTCAGTCCTACTGATTCACACCACAGGCACTTCGTACATGCTGCAGCGCTTTGGATATGCTATTCAGAGTGCAGGGGATGTCCAGGTAGCTGGTCTTCTTCGATACGTTGAAAGGTTTGAAGTAGTTGGGACTACAAATGAGTATGTCATAATTCAATAATGGAGGATCACATCACATACCATATGCTGTTTATGCACTAGGGAAGGCAAAATGAGCACTAGGTTAATGCTCGGCTGAGACTGGTATTCTGCTAATGTACAGTGAGCCTCAAACCGCGTCTCATTGGCAAGTGAATCCATGGCAGATGGAGAGCCAAATGATCAAAGCGAGCACCACCAGAATGCCAATTACAACAGCCTTCACCTTCATGTTCTCCCACCACATCTTCTTCTTAATCTCAGTCCCTTGCTTCTTGAATTGGCTAGCCTGCACAAACCAATACGCCAGTGCTTGAATCAGAAGCTGCTACGTTACAAATACCTTAAGAGCAAGCTTTCACGACTTCGACCCTACCTGAGTCGACAGAACGTCGGCCTTCTCCGCTAGAAGCTCCATCTTCTCGCCTCGTTGCAAAACCTGAAACACCAAGGTGGCAGGTAAGAGCGGGGCCCAATGCTACGGGTTCCGGCAATCCATGAATGAATGTGGCTCTCACCTTTTCGATATTATCCTTCATCACGCCCTTGACTTCAGCCACTTGTGCCTTAATCTTGGCGAACTTGCTCATTTCCTCAGGGTGCTCAGCCACGTACTTCATGTGCTCCTTCAGCTTCGGCCTGAGCGTACAAATGATGTAAGTCATTCGGATTTATTAAGATACGATAAGCATAAACGCCAGTGGCAGAAGAAGAAAAACTTACCCAAATTCCTTGTTCAAGGCATGGGCTCCAAGAGTTGCAGCCTTGCTAGCATATCTGGCGGTGAAGTCATCCTTGATACGCTCCAAAAAGGCGAATATAATTTGCCGGGTGACGTCTTGGTCCGCAAGGACCATGTAGGCTGCAGATTTACAATCCGAACGTTTAGACCACGAAGGAAACACATGTGCTAAATTCGCCTAGATCCGACAAGAACCGTACCATATCCGTTTTCCAGGAGATAGTTTAGTGTGTGGCCACCATGGGGGAACGTAAATTTGTTATTTTCTTGCGGCATCTTCTCCAGGCACTGAAGGGCGATGGTGTTGAAGTTGCCCTTGAATGAGGTATATTCCGCGAGAACTACCGTGCCTCTGGCCACGAACGAATAGATGAGCTGACCCATGGCGACTTTGCTCAGTTTCAAATGAGAACACGAAACCACGAAAGCTTCGTATGCCTGGATATCCTGAGAAGCAGAAGACGAGCACACTAAGCGGCCAGAAAGTAGCCTGAAAAGAAAATAGAACAAAAGTTACGTTTGATTGGCAAGGGTGGAGATCTCTTGGAACCAAAGAGCAGATGCTTCAGAGGAAAACCTGGACAATGTCGCCAGGAGACATCTGTCCCGCATCCCAAGGCTACCTGGAATCTGAACTGTTCGGCGCAAACTTTCCCCTTTCCGCGCCCTCAAATGCGCCAAGCGCGTTTCAGCGGGTGTGCTACAGTTCGGTGTGGTGTCGCCTTGAGTGTCAGGGGCCCGACAGCTGTGCGCGGGAAGCCTTGGTTGGGGTGCGGAGCGAATTGCAAAGTCTGTGCGCAGGCGCCTATGGCTTGCGCCACTCGAGCTCTAGACCTCGTTAAAGAGAACCGCTTGTTTGATCGGTACACGAGGAAGGATGAACATCACAAGAAATCGCGATGAAACGTGACAAAAAATTGTGTCACAAAAACATTTCTTTTGACATTCATTGGCTGCTCAACAACCCACAGCCTTCCCATACAACCAGTCTGTTGTTTCTGCGCCCAGTGTTCTCTGGTAGTTATTTTACAACGGACACCACCTTATCGCTCGTCATTGTGCAGGCTTCACCATACTCACAACGCCTCGTCTCAAGCTTCGTAGTCCCTTTCCCCTTGTAATCTCCGTGGGTAGATTAATCGGTCGGCAGCCATGAGCGACAGTCATGGTGGCACACTGGAAGCAGAACCGGAAGCTCAGGATCCCAAGGCTGCCGACGCGGGATCGGACGACGAGGAGGAGGAGGAGGATGGGGGAGGGGCGTCGGACGGACAGCAAGAAGGTTCTGGCGGCGAGTCGAAAGACGGAGGAGGGGAGGCGGCGAACGGAACGGGGAAGAAGAAGAAGAAAAAGCAGGTGGGAACGGGGGAGGAGAGAGCTTGTTGGCGACCGGTTTTAGAACGCTTTTCCTCCACTTTTCGCAAACCCGAGCCTTGCCAATTTCAAACATGGTCGTCTATCTGTTTAACCTTTTGAAATTTTCCGTACTCTCCTGCTTCCGCGGCAATGTTTTCGCAGAAAAAACGCAAGAAGAAGGGCGCGGGTGGGGGATCCATTGACGGCTCCTCCTCAGGCTCCGCCTCCCCGAGCGCTTCTCCGCCCACCTCCCCTTCCGCCAACTCCGCGCCCGCCGCGCCGTTCCCCCCATCGTCGTCCGCGGATGCCCCCCTGTGCCAACCGGACCTGGATGACATGCTGCCGGTCGAGGTGGCGGAAAAGAGGTGGGTCGTTTGGGGGAAGAGAGGGGAAGAGGGGGGGAAGAGGGGGGAGAGAGGAGGAAGAGTGAGGGAAGAGAAGGGGAAGAAGGGGGGGGGGAGAAAGGGGGAAAAGAGTGGGAAGAGAGGGGAAAGAGAGGGGGAGGAGAAGGGGAATAGCGGACAGAAGGCTTGGGAATATCCTTGCCTCGAAAATGAGTCACTAAGTTAATGGGTTTTTCCTAACAATTCTTGTGTTGACTCACCATTTCTCTAAGTGCAAGTTTTTGTCATAAAAGGCTGTTTAATGAAGTGCTGATTCGCCTTTCTCAATCTCCCCTCCCTCCCACCATCCAACCCCCACCCCGTCCTCTCCCATTTCTTCCCCCACCCCCTTCGCCTTATCCCCTTTGGCGCTCACAACCTCTCACCTTTTTTTGTTTGTTGTTTTTGTTTCCAACCCCAACCCCAACCTTACCCTCCCCTCTCCCTCCCTCCTCTCCACCCCCCCCCCTCCCAATTTTCCATCAGGTTTGCGGCAGCGCTGGAGTCGATGCGGAGCAAGGCGGACCTGTGCATGTGGGTGCAGCTGGCGCGGTGCCGCGTGGGCGACAAGAAGCTGCGCCGCCTCACAGACGCACTCATCCACTGCGAGACCGTCACCTCTGTCGACTTATCAGAGAACCTTATATCGGATGCAGGCCTGCGCCAGCTCGCCTGCGCGCTCTCCGCCCCTAGCGCCGCCCCGGATTTGATATCCCTGAACGTGAAACGCAATCCGATCTCGGCTGCCGGGCGGGCGTGTCTGGCGAACTTGCAGGCTGTCAGGAAGCTTGTGAGGGTGAGTTTTTACGACTGCCATGTGGGGCGACTAAAACGCGCAGAGCATGTGGGCCAGTCTGGAAAATTCAGTTTTCTGCGAAGCAGCTTTCGTTCTTCCTGAGTCAATCTGCTCACTACTCCAGCTGTCCATCTGCTTGGCCGTTGAAGAAAGCAGGCCTGCAGCAGCACTGAGAGATCTCTAACCCCATTGATGTGCCCCTCTTGTGTCTTGCAGATAGAGTATGAATGGATCTCATTGATGTTGTCTCTCGTGTCTTGCAGATAGAGTATGAGGAGAGCCCGCCTCCAGCAGCACAGGAGAAGAAGGGCGCGCAGGCAGGAAAGGGACAAGGCATGACGGACCCACGTGGCTTTGAAAGCGGGGAGCGGATGGGAGGGGCTTTGGCCAGCAAGGCGAGCAACCCCCAAATTAGGGTGAGGCGAATGGATTGGGGTGGATGGATGCGTGAAGGTGAAAAGTAGTGTAGTGACATGGGTGTGGGGTTCGTTCCTGGGGTTATAGTGAGAGGTGGCAGCGAGCAACATGTGTTCATGGCTGCAACAGTCTAGTGTCTTTATGATGTAACGTGCGCTCTCTATGCAATCGCCTCTCATTCACTCTTGTTCACCCTCCCCGCTGTCCTCTTCTCACATAGATCGACGCGGCCGTCCGGTTCATCAGGGAAGCATCCGAGAAGCTGCAGCAGGTGGCACCTGCGGGCAGCAGCAGTCGGAGCATAGCAACGCGGGTGTTTGACTCGGGCATGATGACGGAGGCGCTGGAAGACGTGGTGGAGCTGGTGGATGCTGACCTGCGCCGCAACCCCACCAAGTCGTACCATAACTCGCCCATCAACAAGCTGCCACTGGTGAGTGAGACTCTCATGACCACTTGTTTATGTTCCAGGGGCCTTAAGGCTTTGATGACTGTTGGGGCGCGTCCATTGGAGCTGGTGGATGCTAATCTGCGCCGCAACGCAACCCCACCAAGTCCTACCAGAACTCGCCCATCAACAAGCTGCCACTGGTGAGTGAGACTCTCATGACCACTTGTTTATGTTCCAGGGGCCTTAAGGCTTTGATGACTGTTGGGGCGCGTCCATTGGAGCTGGTGGATGCCAATCTGCGCCGCAACACAACTCCACCAAGTCATACCACAACTCGCCCATCAACAAGCTGCCGCTTGTGCGCTTCCTGACACATTCACTTGTGCCACGGGACTCATTACCACCTCCACGCTTTTGCTTGTGGCTCTCCTCTCCCTGCTTAGCTACCTCATTTCTCGCTTGAGTCACTCAACCCCTGTATGTTCCCCGGCTCAACCTCCCACCCTTTCCTCGTTAGAAGAGACGAACGCGTTTTCTCTCTTCTGTCCTCTTACCCCTCCGCCCCCCACCCTTCTGCGTTCCCAGCCGCTGCGGCTGGTGGTGGAGAGTCTACCCACGTTGGCATCCCTGCTAGAGCTGCCCATACCGCCCCAGCAGTGCCAGCGCAAGCTGGCAGAGCCCGCAGCGGGGCGGCACCGCATTCTGACGGTGCTGCTGCTGCGCAAGGTGGTGGGGGCGTGTGGCCGCGTGGTGGATGACAGGCTGGCACGGGAGGACGTGGGGAGGAAGGTGGCCGCGCTGCTGTTTGACTTCCCCTGGAGCAACGTGTTGCACCATGGCGTGTGCTGCTTCCTCATGGTACGTGTGTGCTTCTTTCTCATGTATCTAATACCCCCCCCCCCCCCCCCCCCCCCCCCCCCCCCCCCCCCCACTCCCCAGCTCTCTCTCCGTTTCTGTTGTAATGCATGCCGTTTTCTCCACATATCTTCGCTCTCATCACTCCAAACAAAGAAATTCCGCATATCTTCCTTCTGTTCTCTTCACCCCCTCCTCCCATGCTGCTGCCCTCTGCCAGTCCGCCCTGGAGCGTCCCAACTCGTCTCTCTCCTTGTCTCTCCTAGACCCTCCTCCATCCGACGATTCTTCCTCCTCCTCCACATCATCCACCGTCACTGCTCTCTCCTCCTCCCCTTCTCTGCCCTCCGCCTCTCCACCTGCTGCCACCACTGCTACCACCAGCGGCACCACCGCTACCACCAGTGCCACCACCACCACGGACAGCACCACTGCTGCTGATGCTGCTGCCTCGGCTTCTGCTGTTATGTCTGAAGCAGCTGCTGCTTCTGCTGCTGCTGGAGAGCCCGCCTCCCCTGATACTCCCCCCACAAGCGCAGGAGGGGACGAGGGGGCAGTGAGGAAGGCGCGGGGGAGCGGGCAGGGGGAGGGGGAGGCGGACCCGCGGCCTCAGGTGGACGTAGAGCCTGAGGCCAAGCGGGGGCGCGTGAATGGCGAGAAGGGGGGAGCAGGGGGGACGGGGGGAGCAGGGGAGGAAGGGACAGGCACGGATGTAGAGGTGATGGGTGGAGGGGCAGGTGCTAGTGGGGATGCTAGCAGTGATGGTGCTGTCAGTGGGGCGAGTGCTGGTGGGACTGCTGATAGTGAGGCTGCTAGTAGTGAGGCTAACTCAGGGAGCGGGGAGAAGGTGGAGAGTGGGGGCCAAGGAAAGAAAGAAGGGAAGGGGGCAGAAGAGAAGGCCCAAGGGGAGGAGAAGGAGGAGGGCAAGGTGGAGAAACAGGGGGAGAGGGAAGGGGATTCCAAGGGGGAGGGTGAAGGGGAGAAGCAGGCAGCAACAGCAACAGCAGCAGCAGCGTCAACAGAACCAGTGGTTCCTGCAGGCCCGCTGGCTCTGCCTGTGAAGCTGGCAGTGACGGCAGCTCCCTGGGTCAGCACCCCCATCGGTCAACGACCTGGGTACGCCTTGCGCTGCTTGGGACTTTGGTGTGCTGAGCGTTGATCTCTGAACACTCTTTGGGCTGCGATCTGTGCTGAGCTGGGCTGACCATTTGTGTTTGTGTTTCTACTTGTGTGTGCTTGTGTGTGCTTACGTCCATGTGTTCTTTTGCTTATGCGCATGTGCATGGGGGCTTGTGTGTTGAAGGTGCGGGAAAGGGGATTGCGTGTGTGTTTTTGTTGTGGGCGTGCTTGTGTGTGGGAGTGTGCATGTGTGCATGTGTGCTTGTGTGTGGGATGTGTGCATGTGTGCGTATGTGAGGGAGTGTGCATGCGTGCATGTGTGCTTGTGTGGGGGAGTGTGCATGTGTGCATGTGTGCTTGTGTGTGGGAGTGTGCATGTGTGCATGTGTGCTTGTGTGAGGGAGTGTGCATGTGTTCATGTGTGCTTGTGTGAGGGAGTGTGCATGTGTGCTTGTGTGTGGGAGTGTGCATGTGTGCACGCGGTGCTGTATCACAGGCATGCAGGGCCCATCATTCAGCTCATGTTTGACATTAGGGGCAGAGCAACCACCAGTGCGCCACTGCAGGTGTGCACACCTCACTCTCACCACTGCACGTGTGCACCGCTCACTCTCACACTGCCTTTTGTGAAAGAGCACCCCCTTCCCTTCCCTTCTCCTCTTTCCTCTCCCCACCTCCAGTCCTCCTACCCTCTCCTTCCATTTCACTCTGCAAATCTGTCCTCCCTCTCCTCCTTCCACACCCCCCCCTCCCCTCCCCTCCCTCTCCCATCCCCTATTCCCCACCCCCCCCAAACCATGGCAGGCGAAGCTAGAAAAGCTGCCAGAGTGGCAGGCGTTTGCCCAGCCAGGGGGCCAGCTGGACGAGCTCCTCTCACAGCAGCACGGCACGCTGTGCGGGCCCAAGCCAGTGGTGCCGGGCAGTGATGCGCCTGACATGGGTGCCAGCAGTGGCGGGCAGAGTATGCTGTTCGGAGAGCCCGACCTGCCGCCCTCTGTGCTTGGAAAACTGAGGGCCATTTATCTACAGTGAACCCAAGGTGAGGTAGACTGCGTGCCCAATAAGTATGCTTTGTGCTGCGTCTTTTTGCAGCCAAGCATTTGTGCGAGCGTTTGATGAGTGATTGAAACGAATCATTGTTGAATGGGGGATTTCAATTCGAGCCGATAATAATCATGAAACTTGGTGTGCTATGTGGGTAATGGGTCTGAATCTTGGTGTGAAAATTCTTTAGAAGATTCAACATTGTAGTCTCAAAAATGTTGTGCATTGACGCGAAACACGGTCACAGAGGGGGAAAGACCTTCCTCTCGTCTCATCTCCTCCACTCCGCTTGACTGACTTGACGAATGCAGCTGCCGCGCTGGTGTTGCGCATCCGTCCACATGACCCCAGTGGCCCCACCAGCTTCCTCGGACGACTTGAAGAAAAACTGAATGTTCGTCAACAAACGATGCTGACAGAGCGCCAGCATCGGAAAACCAACAGGCTGCGGCTGGACAGAACGGCGATTTGCTCGTCAGTGATCGTCCACGACGTGACTTTCTCGGCGGATACACGTACAGTCGAGAGATGAGTCACGAGGCACTCGAGTCGAGTCGGGTCGAGAGACTTGTCAATGCTGCAGCCGAAAAACCGTCTCTCTCCTCACATCATCCGTTAGGTTGCGCGACGCGTGTCCGCCATGGATTTTTACCATTCGACGATAGATAGCCAGCAACTTCCCGACGGAAGCAGCGTTTTGCTCTCACGTGCCGCTTCCGAACCCTGTACTTTCCCCGGATATCGCGCTGAGGACCCCGGACCGCCGTTTAAAACTCGCCGTATCCGTCCAGAAGCAATAGTAGCACCAGCAACAGACAGCTCCGTGGCGGCAGCGTCATTGGCGGCGCCGCAAGAGCCGGCGATGGCGGTCCGAATCAACCGGCCGGACCTGCAGTCGTTGACGGACGTCGCTAACGCTGACGGCCACACGTGGCTGAAGTACGGCGAGAAGCGCATCAGCAAGAACACGGTCATGAGGTACCTTCATATATGATCATGCTCATGCTGCTGCCCGGCGCAACCTTCGCCGATGCTGCTACCCGTCCGCTCAACAATCTCGTTGATCACTGCCCCTCGCGTGCTGCTTCGCTACATGCACCCCCCAAACGCCCGTCACTTCCTCCTCCTCATTTTACTTATCGCTCCCCCCCCCCCCCCCCGGGCCCCCCTCCCTCCCCCCGATACCGCCAGGTCTTATTACAAGTGCTCGTGGTCGCGAGCTCGCAACCCGTGTCGCGCCACCAAGACCGTCGATTTCGACCCCAGGCGCCCGCAACTCACGGTGATTCGCGCGCGCTCCGCGCACAACCACGAGGCCGGCGCCTCCTGCCCTCGCCCCGCCGCCGACCGTCGAGTCCCCCCGCCGCTGCACATCTCCCGCGCCTCCCCTTCCACCCTCCGCGCCAGATTCTCCGCGCGCGACTCGAGGCAAACTCACAACGCCGCCGCTGGCGAAAACCGGTCACCAGTTTCGCAGCAGTTCGCGAGCAGTCAGCCGGTGGCTCCGACCTTGTGGTCGCCCATGTCGATTGACGATTCGCCCGTTGGGCCGCTGGACGCGGCGCGAAACGCGGCGATGATGTCGCTCCCCAGCAGCCCCGCGACCAGCCCTCTCGCGAGCCCTCTCAGCGTGGAAGCACCCCGCGACGCGTGCGACAGGGCGAACGACAGGGCAAGCGACAGGGCGAGGTGCTGACACTGTGATGGGGCTTGGCGAGAATGCAACACTGTGGGAGCATGTGGGGCAGGAGAGCCGGCGCGTCACAGACATGGCGATGATCCGAGGAGCGGCACGCGCTGACTCCATTCACACGAGTGCTGGCGCTGCTACCTGCTTCCCTGTGCACACCGCGACACACGCTGCTACAACGCACGCCACGAAAAACATCAAAGCGACTGCTAATCTGTGGAGTGACAGTAACAGGGTGGCAGTGAGCGCGCATGTATCGGAGCTGCATGTAATGAGGATGGGCGCAAACGGCTTGGCGTGGGGCGGCCAAGGAGGAGGAGAGCAGGGGGGCTTACAGGAACATGCACGCGGTGCTGCCCCTGCCCCTGCTGCCCCTGCTGCCCCTGCTGCTGCTGCCGTGGCTGTCCGCCCAGCCCGTGCCTTCATCAGTGCATGTGCTCAAAGGGCTTTTCTCATGAGCCGGCGCTGCTGCAATCAGCAGCAGCAGGGGGAGAAGGGGGAGGAGGACGAAGGGGAGGAGGAGCACCTGTCGCTGGATCTCTCACTCGGCGCCCCTGGATCGTGTCAGGGCCGAGAGACGGCTGGGCGTGCTGCATGTGGGAGGGACATCAAAGCACGGGGGAGAGAGGACCCTGTGCCTGGCACTGAAGGACAAGCCGCCCACGCGCAGCTCTTGCCTGCAACAGCAGCACCACCACCACCACCACCAGCAGCAGCAACAGCAGCAGGAGCAGCAGCAGAAGCAAAAGCGGCATTCTCGCCAGGGCCAGTGCTTGGGAGCGAAGAGAGGTGCGTTGCCTCACAAGCTGTCCGCAGCCTTGAGGCAAGCCCACATAACCTCTGCCTGCCGCCCCTGACTGCCGCCACTGGTGCTGGTCCTATGGAGGAGTGCCTTGCTGCACCGCCGGCGCCGCTGCTGCAACAGCAGCTACGGCTACCACCACAACAGACGTGTCAGCCGTCTCAGCTGTGTCAGCCGCAGGGCGAAGGCCAACGGCAGACTTGTTTTGGGAGTCAGAAGGATGTTGGTATGGTTGATAGTAGAGCATGTGTGGTGCTGGCAGCTCTGCTGCTCCAAGCCGCTGCTACCCACAGGCAGCCACACAGGTGACTGCTGCCATCACCAATACCTGTGTCCAGCAGTTCGCACATTACCGTTTGTTACCGTTATGTATGCTTCGCATTACCAAGCGGTGTATTGTGATCCTCAAACTATTAAGAAATTTCTGAATATATTGCCTCTCTGTTATAAAAATGTTTTGACACGTGCTCTTGTGCTGCGGCCAGTACAGTATATCGAGATGCGTACAAACCCGCTAGCAAATTGGGGAATTGGGGTGCATTCTGGTGCATCCTCCTTTGACAATCCCAAAGCCGCCGCGATGGCCAGCTGGCACCGAGGCGCCACGCCCTCCGACCAGCGGTCCCATGTCGAACACCAGGGTTTCTTACGCGCTTGGCGGTCGTTTTTCTTGGAACTCGGCGCGGCTGGGAGCCCGGTGCCTCACGCATCGCAGGCCAGGCGAGTACCGCTACCACATAGTAATCTCTCCCTCACACCCGCGCGCGTTCCCCTCCTTCCGCTCCCCGCCCCCCTCCTTCCGCCACCCTCCTTCTGCGCCCCTCGTTCCGTTCCTCACCTTCGCCCCGTTTTGCTTCTTCGCTCCCTCCCCGCCTCCCCCTCCCTCGGTCGGTGCGCTCCACGTATTCTTCCAGTGGGTCTTTCCGCCCTTTCCTCCGCCCGTTTGCGCTCGGCGCGCTGATGGGCTCGCTGCTTGTTGCCGTCTCGCTTCTCTCCGCCAATCCCCCCCGCGCTGACCCCTCCGCGGCTGTAGCTTCCGCCAGTGGAGCCGGGGGCGTGGGGACGTTGGGGGGAGCGGGCGCAGAGGGGGCTGCAGCCAGTGGCGCAAGCTACACGGGACGTCGGGAAGGGGAGTTGTTTTCGCGCAGTGATGTAACGAGCGGTGTGGTAACCAGCAATGTGGTAACCATATCATCGTCAGGAGGGGCGCTGGATGCAGTTGATTCTCTGCCGGGCCTGTCGGAGGGGTTCGGCTTGGCACTGACAGACCTGGAGCAGAGGTACGGAGTAGGAGCAGAGGTTTGGGAGCACGCACCCATGGTATGTAAGCTGTGTGAAGCGGTGGGGAATGGTTCCTGGGTGTGTTGGGGTATGGGTGCTGGGGCCCTGGGGCCCTGGGGGTTGTGGCAAGAGCCCAAAGGGGTTTAAGAAAGGAGGGACTGACATTGCCGGATCTGTCTCTGCCCATCCGCCTCCCCGTATTCCACACTTGAATGCATCATGGGCTGTATCTACCCCCCCCCCCCTGTGCCTGTACCCATGCCCACCCGGCCCCAACACCCCCAGCGACCCCACGCGCCTGGCTCTCCAGCTCAGCAACCGCCAGCTGGCGGCGCTGATGGCTGACGTGGCGCGCGAGCGAGGAGCGGTGCCAGCATGGACGGCGTGCTGGGGGCGGCCAGGGAGGTGGGGAGGGGGTGGGGGGAGGGGCGAGGGGCGGCCAGGGAGGTGAGGGGGCGAGGGGGGGGGGTGAGAGGTGCTGGCAGGAGGGTGGGCAGAGAGCAATGCGCAACAGGGAGGTGGGTGAGGGTAGTTGGGCAACGAGAGATGCATGGGGGGGTAAGAAGATTTGTCTATTGAGTTATCTTAGCTCTCTTTCCCTCCTCTCCCCACCCCTCTCTTCTCACTCGTCCCCCTCGCTCTTCTCCTCACTCTCCTCCTCCCTCAACCCCCTCCCCTCTCAACAGGAGCTTCGCACCCTCCTCGAGTCTCCACCCTCCGCCATCCAACTCGTTCCACCCTCCTCTCTCCCCATCCTCCTCTCCTTCCTCCGTCCCCCCAACGCCTCGAACCACCCCACGTCCTCCGCGCTCTCTGCTGCTCTCACCACTCTCCTGCCCATCGAACCTGCTTCCCTTTCCTCGCTCACTGCTGCGGCCGCTGCTGCCCCTGCTGCTGCTTCTGGGACTGCAGGAAGGGGAGAGGGAGGTGGAGGGGGAGGGAGTGGGAAGGCAGGAGGGGAAAGGGGTGTATGGAGGGGAAGGGGGGAGGGCATGGGGAGATGCACGGCGCTCATGTGTCAAGTGGAGCGGGAGCAGATGATGTATGCTCGAGGTGATGTATATGTGTGTGTGCATGCATGGATGTATGTGGCGATGCATGTCTGCGTCCACACATGTATGTACACATTAATCATCCGCCAACGCTTCCTCCTCTTCTTCCTTGTCTCACCAGCACCACCTGCCGCGTGCTGCTCGTCTCCCCTCCCATCCCACCCTCTACTATCTGTTTCGTGGGTTGGAGCGTGGGGGGGGGAGGGCATGTCTCACCACCAGCACCACCTGCCACGTGCTGCTCATCTCTTCTACTATCTTTATATTCTGCTGCCTCTTCTCTCTGAAGCTTGACTCCGCTATGAATCAAGAAAGGTCCACTCCACTCCGCTCACCTCTCTTGATTCATTCATCTATAAGCCAATCCTACAGATTGTCAGCTGTTACCCTTAACTGATTCTCAAACGGCATCAATTGCCTCTGATTACTCACCCAATAGACGACCCAACTCACACATCACCTGCTCTGCTCCCTCTGTGCGCATGGCAGCAAGGGAGGAGTATGAGGAGTTGGTGCGCGAGAGAGGGGCGTGGGAGGTGGTGGGGTTGCGGCGGGAGTGGGTGGAGGCGCGGAGGGAATGGATGGGGCCTGCGCGCAACACCATGGAAGCTCTTCAGCGCCTCATGAGCATGCAACCCGGCTCAGGTGGGGGCGGGGCAGGTGTGTGGTAGGTGTTGCAGGTGTGTGGTAGGTGTTGCAGGTCAACGGGAGAGGTGGGAGTGGGCGGTGGTGGAGGCGCGGAGGGAGTGGATGGGCCCTGCGCGCAACACCATGAAGGCTCTTCGGCGCCTTATGAGCATGCCGCCGGGCTCAGGTGGGAGGATGGATGGCAACGTAAACGGGGGGTTGCAATGCAGTAAGTGTGGTGGCTCATGCAGAAGCTGCCTGGCAGTGGGTGGGGGACTTATGAGCGGCTCTGCTCTGCAGTGGGTGCAGCATCTCCTGTTTTGAGTCGACCCATGCACATGCCTGCCAGCTACATGCGTTGGGTGCACTGGGGAAGCCTTTGCCTGGGGGAAACCTTTGAGTGGGCGAGCCTTCGAAAGAGACGCCTGAAGAATAGACAACCATTCTTCCCCTGCCCACTTTCCTCCTCCCCACTGCATCATTCCCCTGCAGTCATATTCTGCAAGATCGACGACTAACTCTTCTGGCTGCGCCCCTACATTGCTCTCTTGTGGATGAATGCTCCTCAGGATAGACAGCCTCACCACCACTCCCGTTCCTCTCCTACCATCCGTGTTTTGAGTCGACTCAAAACACGCCTCGCCACCACCCCCATTCCCCTCCTACCACCCCCACTGGCCCCCGTTCAACCCCATGCGTGCAGGCATATTCCGCAAGCTCTTCGAGTACATCTTCTGGCTGCGCCCCTACGTTGCTCTCTTCCGCTCCATACCCACCCCCACACTCTCCTCCCTCTCGTCCCTCCGCCTCTCCTCCATCCGCTCCTCCCTCTCTCTCGACGTGCGGCAAGCAGCGTCTTGTCTCAACACCGCCCGCTCCGCCCTCCTCTCCTCCCTCCACACCCTCTCCTCCCGCTGCGGCGTCGACGCGGGTGGGGAGTTTTGGACTGACATGCATGATGCGGCGCTGCAGCGGTACCGGTGGGTGGCTGAGTCCGCGTTTGACAAGTGGTGCGTGGACTGGGCAGCGGTGGGGGGCAGGTATCGGCAGCATGCGGGGATGGTGGTGCCTGGGGAGGAGTGGAGGAGGGAGGGATTGCATGGTGGGGGGATGGAGAAGGATATAGAGAAGGGGTTGAGAGGGATGGGGGGAAGTGAGAGTGACAGAGACCTGGAGACACAAGGGCAAGGGGGAGATCAGGGGGCGGCGAGGGTGGGAGAGGGCGGAAAGGGAACGGAGGAGCAAGAGACTCCAGAGGCAAACGCGAGGAGGAGGGAAGAGGAGAGAGCGAGTGTGGGGCGGATGAGGCGCCAGCCGGAGTTCTCCTTCCTGCTCCTACCCGACGCACTCTCCCCGCCTCCAGCAGGGGGGAAGGGAGCGCGGTTGGATGCGCGGGCAGTGGCGGAGGTGGTGGTGGGGTGCATGCGGCACGTGGGGTTCCATGCCACAGGCAGTGCAGTGGGTGTGCCTGTAGAGCTGCTCGTGCTGCTGCCTGTGGGGCGAGAAGAGCAGGGTGGGCAGGGAAAGGGGCAGGGAGTGGAGAATGGGGAGGGCGGGGAGGGTGGGGAGGGTGGGGAGGGTGGGGAGGGCGGGGAGGGCGGGGAGTGGGAGCGGGTGGCGGCGTGGAGTCAGGCAGCGTGGGCAGTGGAGGAGCAACGACTCACTGTGCTGCCCGTGGTAATGGCTTCATCAGCGCCAGTATCCGCACCATCAGCTTCGGCACCATCAGCATCGGCATCAGCATCGGCATCAGCATCGGCATCAGAATCAACATCAGCATCGGCATCAGCGTCGGCAACAGCTTCGGCACCATCACCATTAGCATCAGAGTCAGCACAATCAGCATCAGGGCTCCATGCCTCTCTCTTTGCCGCTCCCCTCACCTCAGACCTCGCGAAATTTGATTTCCTTGCCCGAGCAGCACGGGGGCGGGTGCTGGTGCTGCTGACAGGGGCGAATGCAGAGGCGGTGGTGAGGAGGGCGCAGGGGGGACTGGGGCAGGACGCTAGCAGCTGTGAGTGGTTACTGGCGCTGCACAGCGCGTTTCAGGGGGATTCGAGGCTTGCTGTGGCTGGGTTCGTGGGAGGAGAGGGTGGAGGAGAGGTTGGGAGGGATGCGAAGGGGTCGGGAGTGGGAGGTGGGTGGGGAGGAGTGGAACAGCAGATGAGGGAGTGGGGCGACTTGGGTCGGGAGCCGCACAGCACCGCTGCCAACCTCACAGGCAACAGCAGCACTGGCAGCAGCGCCCCGCCACCCCCTGTGACCTACACGGGGTGGGTGCAGGGCACACCTCTAGCCATCCGCCGTTCTGCCCTTCTCTCCCTCGGCTCGCTTGCACCTCTGCTGAGGGGAGAGGTGGGTGGAGCGGACGAGGGGCAGGGGGATGCGAGCAGCAGCAGGATTGGAGCGTGGGTGGTGTGTGTGAGGGCGTGGCTTGCAGGGTACCGAGTGGGGCTGGTTCATGCACCCTCTGCTGGGTTTCTCCTTGCCAAGCAGGGTGATTCCGGTGCAGGGAGCAATGGTGCTGGCAGTGTTGGTGGGGGGAGCATTGGTGCAGGCATGGGTCCTGCTGCAGTGAATGGTGAGTTGTCTGCACTCGTGGCTCCCTATTTGCACGCTGTAAAACAGAGAATAGCCCTTCTAAATTCATAGTGACAACAGTACCAAGTTGCGTCACCACCTTCCTGCATTACAAGCATGTAAATATTTATTGCCTCTAGAAATTAGGTTTCCCAGAACTGCCCTAGAAGAGCCGCAGATGATCACTAGCAGTGAATGCTCCTGCTGCACTATCTATCTACGTGCCTATATTGCGCTAGTATCCAGTCTAGACAGCTTTCGGTCAGATATGATATGGTACTCTACCCAGGTCCCAGCCGGCCCACCAGCGCATGACATCACACGTGCACACAAGGCAGCATAGCATAGCATGATTCTCGCAATGCATTTGGATTCCCCCTTGACTAAGCAACTATACTTGAAAATGAGCACACAGCTAGCGGAACTTGAGTGCTGTGATGTGCGCACCGACTGGTGCTACCAAGATGACTAGGTAGCTACTACCCCGCACATGGCTACCGGAAGGTGCAGAGCACGAGACCGACAAATAGGCGATTGTCGGTGCACACGTAGCCGTTGTTGAGATCGGCCATCCTGCGCGTGTTGTACTGGAACTTGAGGGCTATGATGCGCGCACAGAAGTCCCCCCGCACCACCGTGTACGACGCCTGGCACCGCCGCTTCGTCTGCAACGGCTGCACTTGCTGCTGCTGCAGCAGCTGCTGGCTCTCTTGTTGAGGCAAGGCGTGTGCTGAGAGCAGCCCAGAGGCGTGAGAAGAGTGGAGGAGGGAGTGGTGCTGTGTGGTGAGCAGGCTGGTGTATGCTGCGTTGTAAGGCATGGCCGATGTGTCTCGGGGCGCGAGATAGTTGATTGTCGCGTTGAATGCTGCCTTCACACAGATCTGAGGGACACGGGTTTGGGGGGTGTGGGAATGTGGAAGGGGGGAGGTTTGCCAAGTGTGGTGGAGATAGGCTAGTGTGCTTGAGAACCCTTCCAAGCATGCAATCAACCCGCTTGCAACTATCACACCTCACCTATCACTAGGTGAGCGGGGTAGAGGTTAGCACAGAAGGCACCGGGGTTGAGGGAGAAGTAGGTGGTCCAGGAGAGGGAGGGAGGGGTTGAGGTGCGGTGCGTACCACATGCAGCCTGCCCCCTCACCGTGCGTACCACATGCAGCCAGCCCCCTCACCGTGCGTACCACATGCAGCCTGCCCCCTCACCGTGCTTACCACATGCAGCCTGCCCCCTCACCGTGCTTACCACATGCAGCCTGCCCCCTCACCGTGCTTACCACATGCAGCCTGCCCCCTCACCGTGCTTACCACATGCAGCCAGCCCCCTCACCGTGCTTACCACATGCAGCCTGCCCCCTCACCGTGCGTACCACATGCAGCCTGCCCCCTCACCGTGCTTACCACATGCAGCCTGCCCCCTCACCGTGCTTACCACATGCAGCCTGCCCCCTCACCGTGCTTACCACATGCAGCCTGCCCCCTCACCGTGTTTACCACATGCAGCCAGCCCCCTCACCGTGCTTACCACATGCAGCCAGTCCCCTCACCGTGCTTACCACATGCAGCCAGCCCCCTCACAACCCACCTGCGCGCCACTGGGAATGGCGTTGACCCCGTCAACGGTGGCAGCGGGGTAGAGGTTGGCGCAGAACACCCCGGGGTTGAGGGCGAAGTAAGTGGTCCAGGAGAGCCCGTACTGCTGCCTGATGCTCCTGCACGTGTCCGGGGGCGCGATCACGTGATACTGCGCGCACAGCGGGATGGCCAGCCCAGTGCCCTCGCGCACACAGATCTGAATGGGCGGAGGGAGAAAGGGGAAGGTAAGAGGGGGTGAGAGCCCGTACTGCTGCTTGATGCTCACACACTTTTCAGGGGGCGCTATCACGTGGTACTGCGCGCACAGGGGGATGGCCAGTCCGCTGCCCTCCCGCACACAGATCTGGGGAGGGGAAGGAGAGAAGGAGGGGAAACGGGAGGGGGGGGAGGGGGGTGGGTGGGGGTGAGAGTAGTACTGCTACTTGATGCTCCTGCACGTGTCCGCGGGCGCTATCACGTGGTACTGCGCGCACAGCGGGATGGCCAGCCCGCTGCCCTCCCGCACACAGATCTGGGGAGTAAAGGGAAAAAGGAAAGGGGAAGGAAGAGGCGAGAAGGGCGGGTGGGGTGAGAGTATGGGTCTGCAAGAGGTTGTGTTGTGGGCACAGGTAGGGACGGAGGGCCTACTGCCATCCTGCACAGCCTGCTGGTGGGTGGGAGGGAGGGCGACGGTTGGCTAGGAGAGCGAGCTCATCTTCCCTGATGCTCGCACATGTGTTGGGGAGTGACACCACATGGTGCTGCGCTGCATCATCACACTGCATCGCACTGCAACGCACTGAACTGCAACGCACCTGCTGGCCGGGGTACGCCCCAGTAGGGCAGGTGAGGCCCGGGTTGAGCTCCTCCAGGCGAGCGATGGTGATGCCAAACAGCGCTGCCACCGGCCCACAGCGATTGCCCTGTTGGGGTTTGGGGTGGGGGGGGGGGGGGGGGGGGGGGGGGGGGGGGGGAGGGGGGGAAGGGTAGGAATGGCGGGATTGGGGGGTCCAGGCAGGGCAAGCAGGTGAGGCCCAGGTTGAGCTCCTTGAGGCGGGCGATGGTGATGCCAACCAGCGCTGCCACCGGCCCACAGCGGTTGCCCTGTTTGGGTGGATGGAGGGGAGGGGAAGGGGGTGAGATTTGAGCAGAACCCAGGTTGAGAGCCTCGAGGAGAGAAATGGTGATGACAAACAGCGCCGCCACCGGCCCACAGCGATTGCCCTTTTGGGGGTGTGGAGGGGTGGGGAACGGGGAGGGGAAGAAAGGGGAGAGGAGGCAACAACAGAGAGGGGGTGGAAAGGTTTCATTAAAGCCAGGGTCTCAAGTAAGCAAAGCAGCCATCAACTGCAAAGCACTCGTAGGCAGGCGAAGGTAGGTTACCTCGTTAGTGCAGGCGAATTTCTCTTTGGTTGGGTTGGAAACCTATTCCCGTCAGTGTCTCAAAAGCAATTGCACAACAAGTTTTGAGTACGTGAGACTTTCGACGAGTTTGGGGCATTTTAGGTTTGGATCCGAACCGATTCTCCAAACCTAGGAGGTTCGGCTACACCTAGCGATTTGGATTCGTTTCGTACCCCTCGCTTCACCCCTCTTCAAACTTCACAACTCGTTAGCCAATCACAAACAAACTTGCACTGTCAACTGCAAAGCACTCGTAGTACGTGAGACCCTGGCTTTAATGGAAAAAAGGTGGGGTGCAGAGTGGGGCAAGGATAGCACAGCAGCAACGGGGTGCCATGCACAGAGAGACAGAAAGCTGAGTGCAGCACACAGAATTCTTACTGTGCAGCACACAGAATTCTTACTGTGCAGGCATTCGGCTTCGCACAATGCCCTCAGAAATCCCAGTGTCAGGGGTGAAAGCGGCTGCTGAGACGCCTCAAGAAGCAGGAAAAATACGTGTGTGAAGAGGTGGTGTGGGACGGAGAGTGGGGGAGCGTACCCAGTTCCAGGGGTAGAAGAGGTCGCAGTTGATGGTGTCTGACGTGGCCTTCACGTTCACCTTCTTGCCCTTCTTTATCTTGCTGTCCGAGGAGTCCTGCGAGGTTGAGATGGGTGGAGATGGGTGGATATGTGGAAAGGGGTGGGAAGGGGCGTGGGATAGGAGAGAGAATGGGTAGAGAAGGGTTTGACATGAGAGGCAGTGAGGTGGAGTGGGAGGAGGCAGGGAGAGAAGCAGTGGAGCAACAGAGGGGCATGGTTACAGTTTAACAGGGTTAGCATATACAGACTAACAGGGCTATCAGGTCGGAATGCAGGGTAACAGGATTACCACATAATTGATAAAGTTACCAGGTCGGGGTTCTGGTCATAGAACTTGTCCTTGGGAATGCCGTAAAGCCCATACACCAGCTGCGCGGCACTGTCAGCGGCATCTTGATGCTCTTTATGGTCTTGTCCGCTGGGGGAAGGATGTGTGTGTGGATGGGAGGGAAAGGGGGAAAGGAATCTCAAAAGCCCGTACACCAGTTTTGTCGGCTCGGCAGGTACCTACCGTGGGACGCACCCACACACTTTGGTGTGCTCTTCAGAAGGTGTTGCTGTTGCTGTTGCTGGGGTCTGGGCGTGGTACTGTGTGCACTGTGCTGAAATAACCGTTACAATCTCTGCATGCAGTGGCGTGTGAGCTGTGTGCATCATCAGCAGGTGTTTTGAGCCCACACACAACATCACCACGTGCTGCCAAGCCTCGAAATAAACAGCTTCCTCACTAGGGTTATAAAGTGCGTAGCATGGGCTGTACACTAGCACTGACAGCCTTGCAGTGAGGAATAGCCTTGACAGCCTTCCGTTGCACGGCACGCAGGGGGCTATGAGCGTGAGGCACTCACAGGGCACGCAGGGGGCTATGTGTGCGAGGGGGCCTTACAGGGCACGCAGGTATGAGAGCCGACAGCGGTGGTGCCAAGATGAATCCACGCGGGCAGAGGCACGTGTGCCAGCCCTTGCCGTCGTTCAGACACGTGCCCACTCCACATGGGTTGATGTCCGCCCTTGTGCACACTACCACTGCAGTGGTGAGTGGGGGAAAGGGGGAAAGAGAGAGCAAAGCCACGGGCAGAGGCACGTATGAGAGCCCTTGCCGTCGTTCAGACACGTTCCCACTCCGCACGGGTTGATGTCTGCTCGCGTGCACACCACCACTGGAGAGGGGAGGGAGAAGAGGTGGAAGGGAAAGAGAGCGCAGGAAGAGGTAAAGATTCTGAGTTAGGCAGAAGCCGCATAGGTTAGTGTCCGTTCTCATGCACACCACCACTGGAGCAGTGGAACGGAAGGGGAGGGGGAAAGGGAGGGGAGAGGGGGTGGGGTTGGGAGGAAGGGAGAGGTTGAGAGGTTTGGGCCATGGTTCGCGTGCATACCACCAGTGCGAGGGGGTGGGGTGGTGGGTGGGTGGAGGGATGAAAAGGGATAGAGTGAGAGGGAGCCCACCTGGCGTGCAGGACTCTGAGCTGTCCGATCAAAGCGAGGGGTGCACACAGGGCGCAATGCATGAGGCCTACGTGGGAGCACGTAGGAGCCCACCTGTCGTGCAGGGCTCAGTGTCGTCGGATCGGAGTTATTGACTTGCACGAAGCGAGGAGAGGGGACACACAGGGTGCAGGGAGCCCACGTGGGAGCCCACGTGGGAGGACAAGGAACACACCTGGCGTGCAGGACTCAGTGCCATCGGAGTTCTTGACTTTAACGAATTGGGGCGGGCAGTTGCACTTGTACTTGCTGCTGTCATGCGGAATGCACTCGCCTCCGCCACAGGGGTTCACCAGCAGACTGCACGGGTTCGAGTCTGGCAGGGGTGGGGTGGGACGGAGAGGAGGGAGAGTGAGGGTGGGGTGAGGGGAGAGAAGAGAAGAGGGGTGAGGGATGATAGGGAGGGAAGGGGATGGAGGGCGTGATGCATGTACAAATGCATATGTGCATGCGTGTGGAGTGTGGTTGTGCACTCACTGCGTATGACTGGCACGAGTGCCGGCACTGAGTGGATGTTGCATGCCCCCAGCCCGCCCTGCATGGCCAGATGCATGTATCCCTGCACATGGTGGGTGGGGGAGTGGGGGATGTTACTTGATTTACTTAAAGGCTGCACGACATGTGGCCCTGCACATGGGCAATAGCGGAGTGGGGCATGCACACATGCATATTCACGTGCCCACAGGGCACCGAAAGGCAGAAGGAAAGGCTCGCACAAACTGAGAGACGCACACCGCGCCAACCAGGGACCCCAATGCTGCTCTCCTCTCTGCCCTCCTCCCCTCAACCCTCCCCCTCTCCCCCCACCTGAATGCCCCACGTCTTGCCCTCACCTGCATGCCCCACGTTTTCCCCCAGGAGTTTTTGATGATCCAGAGGGGACCGGGCGAGTCGAAGGTATACCCCATCACCACCACCGCATGGTCCACCTGGCCCTCTGCACAAGACGAATCCGAGTACACGCCCTGGAAGGAGGAGGTGGGGGTGGGAAAGGGGAAGCAAGGGGCGGGTTGAGAGTGAACTTGCGCAACACGATGCTCCCTACCAGGCGCGTACACGGCTGGGAGAAACTGGGAAAGAAGTAGGCGACGAGATGGCAAACGTAAGAGGCGGCAGAGATGGCACGGATGGTTATTGGTGGTTCTGCTCGTGCTGGTGCTGCTGCTAATGATGATGTTGCTGGTTGTGGTGATGCTAGCGATGGTGATTCTACAGTGGTGATGGTAATGGAATGATGATGGGTGCGGAGGTGGGGCAGGGCGGGCATACCGACTGGTAGTTTTGAAAGGAGTCGGGCTTGGTGTTGATCAGAGCGATGGCTGGATGCACCTGCGGGATGGGCACAAGGGACAGCACGAGGAGGACGGTGGGGGGAGCAGAGAGGGCATGCGGGGCAGAGGGGGCATTGGAGGCGGAGGGAGGAAAACGCAGAGTTGGTATTTGAGACGCAGTGAAAATGGGAATTATCAGGGGGCGTGAGTCTCTTGAGGGCTATTTCTGTGCCAGGGGCTTTGAGTCAGCGAATCTGTCTTAATGGGGTGAGGCGTTGAGGTTCCTTCTCCTCGAGTCCTAGTTATTCTCTCTCCAATGTTTCACATCCTTAAACCCCCACCCTTCCACAATTCCCATCCTTCCACACCTACATTGCACACACCTGCACGGCAACCCTCCCCCCTCACTCGCTGCTTGGATTGGAACGCACCTGCGTGGCGAGGATGAGTCCGAGCCAGCCATAGTAGTCGATGCTCTCGTACGACCGGATGCCGATCGATGTCGCCTGCTTCTTCACCTGCGCAGCACGAATGCACGCACACACGCACACACGCACACACGCACACACGCCACACAGACGAGCACTGCACTATGTAGGACATGCCACCAGTGCCACTCCTGCCCTACCCTGCTCCCTCCTGTCCTACCCCGCCATGCCATGGAATCATAAGTGATACATGGTTTCGTTGCATCACATGCACATGAACCAGGCATTGTCCTCGTTATAAGCCCGCAACTCGAAACCGCGCACCAACCGCCACACAACGCACCTTGGACGTGTCGCAGGAAGACGGCTTCTTCTTATCGCCGCCGCTATGGTCGTCGTCATCCTTGGTGCCGTACGTGCACGTCGTGTTACCCGTGTAGGGGTAATTACCCTCCGTCACCATACCCCCGTATTTCCCCGTCGTCTTGACGACATAGTCCAGCGCAGTGGTGGGCCAGCCGCCCGTGCAGTTGCCCTTCTTGCTGTCGCCGCAGCTCAGCACCTGCTGCGTCGACAGGTACCGCGGCGCCTGCATGTCGTTCGACGCGTTGCGCGCCACGGCGTATGCGAGCTCGACCGCCGTCACCGCCGCCATCGCCCAGCTGCTGCCTGGTCGGGGGAAATGCGGAGGGGGGTTGGGGGAGAGGGGGAAGTAGGAAGAGGAACGGAAAAGGGAGAATGCGGAGGAAGGTGAGGTGAGGCGGGGGGAGACAGGAGGGCGGTTCGACGGAGGGGGGTTCGACGGGGGGAAACAGGAGTGGGGTGGAGTGGACGATGCGGGATCCAATCGGAGTGACGCTGGCGAGTCGCGACGAAGCCACGCGGCGGTCTCGACATTGCCGAGAGAGGAAGAAGAACATTCGCAATGCTCGTGCGGTAATGGGTTTTTGAAGCGCCTCATAAGGTGCGTAAACAAAATTCGCCTGAAGAAAGGAGCCTCGAGAGTGGCCGTACCGCAGGAGCCCTGGTTGCGGACGCGGCTGAGGGTGGACGTGCGGTAGTCGGTCCAGTTAGCGCTGGTGGCGAGGCCCCACTTGCGCGTGGTCGTGTTGTATTTGACGCTCGCGAAGCGGAAGATGCTGTTCTTCCCTGCCGGCTTCAGCGGCGCCATCGCCGGGTCGCACCCCGTGGAGTACGCTGCGTGGAGGAAGAGATGGCGGAGAATGCGGGGAGCATAAGGGCAGGGCCGGGAACGAATAACGATCGCATTGGTTAAGCAAGGAGAAATTGGCGAATGTAGATAAGGAATTGGTGAATGCCACTCAGATGGGGGAGAAAATCGGCGTATAGAACGGCGAAGCGCGGTGGAATCTCGTAAATAGAAAGTAATCTTACAGGCTGTGGCGATCGGGCACTCCCATTGAACGACGGCAACGAGGAGAAGAACCGAGAGGAGCGCATGTCGCGGACCGAGGACGCGTAACGGATGAAAGGTCATGGCCATTGTCGGCCTTGGTTTAGGCCCAAGGGACAAGTGCGCCTGGCTCAAAAGTACGAATATTCTATTCTCTAGCTCGAAAGGGGTCTTATTAGAAGGCGACGCGCTACGATGGGAGCAGGGTAGCTGGGTCGTCTCCTTAAAAAATATCACAGGTGCAATGCAAAGGAAGTAGCACGTGATGCGGGGCTGATTTAGTTGCTAGTTTTTGCCAAGAATGCAAGGAAACGTCAGGTGAAAAAATGCAAAATGTGGTGAGGAGTGTGGTTGGTGGTGGTGGTGGTGCGGCGGCGGTTGGGAGGGAGAGCCCGACGGGCAAGGGCTGGTTTGGCCCGGAAGGAATCGCCTAGCCTCGACATGAGGTTTGGTGGTGCCGCCGACAGGTAGGGCCAACAGAAGTAACCCCAAAGTTGATCCAACGGCCAGCAGGTCGTAACGTCGAGGTTATTGCACGCGACCACGCGCGACTGATTGCAACGTGATTGGTCCTTATGACCATACCTGAAAGCCACAGTAGAGAGGGCTTGCCACGTAGGCTTTAGGCTTTAGTGCGCCGCCGCTCGAGGTGGAGGTGTGACAATACTGTAGTTCGTCGAGGCGCGAGAGAGGAAAGATGCGCTGTACACCATCTGCACTACAGTGCAGTAGCTCCATTGCCATCGCAGCTGCAAATTCAGATGCTTTCGGCTCTGTAAGCTGTAAAATCATCCTGAAAGCTAGCACCCATCGCTATAGGCACGTTGAATTGCAGCAACTCAACTACTGCGAGTACAGAATCAGTCTGTTTGATAAAAACCACCAGGCTGCGATTTCATCACTATCCAACCATTAGAAGGCAAGAATGGCATTTTACACTAATGTACACATTTTCCTTGTCAGAAAAGTTTCTTGTTCACGTACGCGTGCATAATCGATTCATACTATGTACATATTTACACAAACAAGGATCTCACTGCTAACAGCGAAGGGGCGAGGATAGGCACAGCTGACACCAACTACCTGTACATGGAGTGGGGTAGTCATCGTGCCTTGAATAGCGTGACTGTACAAATATGACCGTTCTTCAACACCTGCACGAACCAACAGGGACCCAACTCAAAAGAAACAAATGTAGACATTGAAGCAGGCCTCGTAACACAAGTGATCAAGTTCACAAGAAAGTGTATCCAGGATGTGATACGCATGTTTGAGTGCATGTGCCTCACCTCGAATGCCACGTGGCAAAAGCCATACACAAAGGTGGGTCCAAAGGCCCTGTGCAAGGCCCCTGCAGTCTGTATGGCCGCCCGCCCACCACCCCCAAACAGCCTCTGCGGAACCGTAGAAAGAAAAAGGCCACGTGTGGAAGTGTCTGGCTCTCTGGTATGCATACACCCAACCCAGGTGGTGTCATGTGTAGCAGTGGTGAAATTTGTAGTAAACTGATCGCAACTCGCCTGAATAAACAAGTCTCACACGGCAACGAACCCAGAAAGAAAATCTGGCAGGTTGATTCATCTGATAGAGATTGCGTGTGAGCTCACCTGAACATGGTCCCACTTGGAGTCAGGGGTTAAACAGAGCGATGGGTCTGACCCTGCCGGAGCATCTGAGGCTGGGATAATCATGAATAGAGTGTGATGAAGGGCAGGAGGAGGAAGAGATGCAGATTGCGTGGCAGAGGGGTTGAGAGTGACGGGCACAGACAGAAATCTCTTAGTGGGAAAGCATGGTGTGTGGAGACTCAGCACACAAATGAAACAGCGCTTTAGCACGAAATGGGAGACGCATATCACAGAGAGGGGAAGGAATGAGGGAGGAACGTAGTAGTCTAGAGGGAAGGAAGAACGGGCGTGGGGGAACACACGAGTCTGTGCTTGGGGAGCAGGGATTTGTACGTTGCACTTGACGTGGTCGCTCGAGTCGGGCTGGCCAGGGCTTTGTTCACAGAGGGAGAGTGGTGGTGGTGGGGGAGGGGGGGTGGGTGGGGTTGGTGTGGGGGACGCACATGCGTGGGGCGCAGGGATGCGGAAGTTGCACTTGACATAGTCGTTGAAGTCCGGTTGGCCCGGCAGATTCGTGTGCAGCACTAGCTTGCGCACTTCGTAGCTCTGCACGCAAGGGATGAGGGGGCCCCAGGTGGCGGGTGGGGATGGAAATCTCAGTGTGAGAGCGGGAAAGGGGGACTGTGAGTTCAGCATGTTGCGTAGCTCTGTAGTTAGGGGAAAGGTGGAGATGGCATGAAGGAGGACATGTGTGAAGGTGAAGGGCATGGCATGGGTAAGGGCATGGCATGGGTAAGGGCATAGCATGGGTAAGGGCATGGCATGGGTAAAGGGTAGCCAGACGTGCAAATGCGTTGATCCACTAGCTGCAATTTACCTGCTATTTTCACCTGAACGCTAGCTTTCTGTTGATTTCACCTGAATGCTGACTCTCTGTTGTATTCACCTGACCACTGAAGATAATATCCAGGCCGCGGGTGTAGTAGCTCCAGATGTAGTCCGGGGGAGAGGAGGGGGAAAGTGTAGGTGAGGAGGACGGGGCGAGGGGTGAGGAGGGGGAGGAGGAGAGGGGAGGAGTGAGGGCAGAGTGGATAGCCTTAGCGGAGTCCTGTATAGGAGAAGGCGCATTGGCGGGCGAAAGGGGAGAGGAGGTGGGGAGGAGGGCGGAAGAAAGAGCAAGAGAGATGGCAGAGAGCAGGGAACGGGGGAAGTCAGTAAGGGGTGGCGCGGAAAGGAGGAAGGGGCGGAGTAGGCAAGACAGATACAAGGAACAACAAGCACGGACGGAGAATCCAAGCGTTACTGCTACCGGCCATGCATCGCCAGGAAACACATGCACCCCTGCCCCATGCCACCCCTGCCTGCCCCACGCTACCCCTGCCCCACGTCGCCCTAGCCTTGAGGCCAAGCAACCCCGGTTAGCACCTGCTTGGCGCCCATGAAGCATGGCCGCCCCAGCTCCGACCACACGTGCTGGTGGGGGGGAGAAAGGGGAGGGATGGAGGGTGAGGGTTGGGGATAGGGGAGGACGATAGAGGAGAGTGTTAGACATGGTAGCATGAGGAAAGGGAGAGGAGGGAGAGTGGTGGTGGCACTGCAGATGGTGGAGTGAGGAGGGAGTGGGAAAGGAGTGAGTTGCACTGGACACAGGGTGCACGCGAGGTGGGTGAGGAGCCGGGAGAGAGAGAAAGGAGCGAGGGCAAGGGGGTGAGGGGAACAGGAGTGGAGGGGGAAGGCATGAAGCGGCAGGTGGGCAGGGCCGAGCAGGAGAGTGGGCAGGTGGGCGGGGGTTTGTGGGAGCGGCTGACCTGCGCAGAGTCCCCAAAGGCAATGCGCTGCCCGCCCTGCGAGAAGAGCACTGCCTCCCCCAGCTGTTGGGGAAGGAGGGGGGAGAGAGCGCAAGGAGGGGAGAGAGGGACAGGAAAGGGGAGAGGGAGGAGGGGTGAGCTGCCTCCATGAGTCCCCAAAGGTTATGCGCTGCCCGCCCTGGGAGAAGAGCACTGACTCCCCCAGCTGGTGCGCAGGGGGGAGAGGGGGAGGCGGGGCGAGCAAGGAAGGGGGGAGAGGGGCAGGGGAGGGGGCAGGGTGGGGAGGGAAGGGGCGATATGAGAGGCAGGAGCATGGGGGAGGGAAAGGGGATGTGCTGTGAAACATATTTGCCTTGTAGATTATCACAAGTGGCTCCATGCACACACTACCCGCACCTCACTTACAAGCTCATCTCCCACTTGCCTGCCCGCAGCCCCGCACGCATCCCAATCCACCCTCACCTGTACCAGCAGAGTCTCCATGTACACAGCCCCATTCGCCATCACCAGCGGCAGCGACGCAAACCGCTCTGCTGCCCGCCGCAACCCGTCTCCCTCCCCGCCCTCCACGACCCCTGTGCCCCCTGTGCCGCCTGCGTCCCCTGCGCCCGCTGCTCCCCCAATCCCCCCTGTTCCGCCCGCCCCCTGCACGGGCAGAGGGGGTTCCCCCGGCAGGTGCAGCAGTACTCGTGAGAGGCGGGGCGCTGAGCCGTCCGGCAGGTGCATGGGGAGGTCTGGGGGCAGGAGGGAGATGGGCGATGGTGGGGAGGGAGGGGGTGGGGGGCAGGGCATAAGGGATAGGGGAAAGCGGGCAAGAGGGAAGGGGAGGGGCACCTGAGAGCGAGTGATGTGGGGATTGGAGTGCACGTGCTGGCAGAGGCGCGCAGCGCGGGCGTTGCAGGAGGGTGCGGCGGGTAGGGAGGGTATGAGAGGGGAGAGAGGCGAGGCAGCGGCAAAGGTAGGATGGGGGAGAGGCGAGCCTGGCGTCTCATGGGTACGGGCAGGGCAGCAAGGGAAGGTACTGACCGTGTGCGGGGTGTTGGAACAAGTGTTGGTGGGGCGCGGGGATGGGGAAGAGCAGCGCCATGCCCTGCCCGCACGGGAAAGGGGGGCGAGCGGGGAGGAGGGCAGGGCGGAAGGGAGGAACCGCAAGGGTGGAAGGAGAAGACAGTGGGTGCAAGCACGGGCACAGGGCAGGGGGCAGGGGGCAGCGGGAGCAGGGGGCAAGGCACAGGGGGCAGGGGGCGCAAGGCAGGGGGCACAGGGGAAAGGAAGCAGTACCGGGTAGGAGAGGGTGTAGCAGGCGCATTGAGCGTTGTAGGCGCCGGGGAAGGTGGGACCGAGCACCGAATACACGTGGGCGAACGTGGGCGCCTGCATGGGGCCTCTGAGTGACACAGCAAGGAGCACAAGGGAGGAATGGTGCAAGGTGAGGAAAAGAAAGATGTAAGTGGGGTGGATGGAAGGTGGGAACCGAGCACTGAATACCCGTGGGCGAACGTGGGCGCCTGCATGGGGCCTCTGGGAGCACCCAAGGTGGGGGGGAAGAGATAAAATCACCGGTAGAGCAGGGGGGAAAGGGGAAGGGGGAAGGGGGAAAGGGGAAGGGAGGGTGCAAGGGGAAAGGCAAAGAAGATAACATGGGGGGTTGGATTAAGAAGGGGTTTCGTGTGCAGGTGGAGAGAAAGAGCGTGCACGGCACAGCATACAGAGCCTTTGGCCTCGGCTTGGCAGGGAAACGGCATTCCCCAACGAGGGTGGGTGGGGGCATGGCAGAGAGAGCAGAGAGAGCAGGCAGGCATACCCGAGCAGCGAGGCTCCGAATCGCAGGTGCAGGCGAGAAATGTCCGTCACGTCTATGCGGTGCAGTCGCTGTTGAGGGGAATGGGGAGGGAGGGGGGCAGTGCCGCGGGGGAAGAATGAATGGGCGACAGAAGCATGTGAGAGGGTAAGATGGCAGGTGTGAGAGCAAAAGGTCATGGGGGACTGAGAACGGCAAGAGGTCATGCGGGTATAAGGCCTCACCTGCACGTGGGGGTCGAAGCAGAGGCGGAAGCCCAGGTGGGGGAACGCGATGATTATGTCGCGCGAGAGAGGCTCCTGGGGGTAGGGGGGGGAGGAGGGTGAGGGGGGAGAGATGGGGGATGGGGAGGGGGGGGGACGGGGGGTGAAAAATGGTCTATTCCCACTAACATGTACAGTTAGAGGAAGCCGAGGTGGGGGAAGGCGATGACTATGTCCCGCGATAGCGGCTCCTGGGGGAGGGGGGAAGGGAGGGGGGAGGTGGGAAAGGGGGGGGGTGAGGGTTGAAAAGCGGCCACTCTCACTAATATGTACAGTTATGGGGGAACGAAGGGCGATGAGTCACACCCCACCCACCTGGTGGCAGTAGTGAACGACGATGCTGTCAAACACGCCCAGCTGCGCTTCCACCTCCACCTGGTGGAAGCACTGCACAGCACCGCACAGCACCGCACAGCACCCACTTACCTGGTGGCAGTAATTGACGACGATGCTGTCGAACACGCCCAGCTGCGCCTCCACCTCCGCCAGCGCCTTGCACACCGCCATGCCTGCGAGTAGCGCGCCCGGCACACGCGCAGACACACGCACGCACACACATTCACGCGCAGGCAGGTAGCAGGGGGCAGCATGGGTAGGGGAGTCACACGGGGGGAGGCGCAACGGGAAGGTGGCAGCAGGTGACGACAAAAAGCGAAAACAAACCGCGCAAATCCCGTAGCGGGGAGTGCAGCGCGCGGGCAGGGAAAGAAGGAAAGGAGGAGCGGGCTTGGGGGAGGCGCACCGAGCGAGAAGGGCCCCAGGCCCACCCCCGGGCGCAGGTCCAACGTCGCGATGCCCATGGCGCGCACGCTCTCGGCGGAGAGTGGTGGAGAGCGGCGGAAGAGGCGGAAATGATATCGTAGTTACGTCGTGTGAAGGTGGGTGGAGTGCGACGAAAGTGGGAAGGCGAAAGCCGGGCGAGCGGAGTGGAGAGCTCGGCGCTCAGCTGACTTACAAGTGCGCTGCGGTGCTATCGCGTCAGAAAGCTAGCTGACATCACGGGTCGGGTGTGTGAGGGATGGAGAGTGATGAGGAAAGGAATGTGTGAGGTAAGGAAGGGTAGTAGTGAAATGTGTGGCGGGGAAGCGACGATATTGTGTTGCGGATGACGTGTACCTGACTCAGCGAAACATTGTTCAGAATCTAATTTATGAAAATGCTAAAAGTACTGTTTTACATTTGTGTTGATGTATGACATAGTGCCAAAAGAATTTCACGTGAAAAGTGCTTTACCGCGTGATTCTGTACTGCGAACAAATCGACCAGCACCAGTACCTTTTGTTCCCAAATCCCGACCCTGCACCCTTCAAAAACCTCTCACCCCTCTTCCCGTCACTTCGGCCCCCCCTCCCCCGCCCCTTCTGCTCTATCGCGTTTTCGCAAGCCGCGATCCACCGCACAGAGCCAGGCATTGTCGCGCTGACTAGTTGATTCGCGTCCTTTCGGCGAAGCATCGGCTTCGTTTCCGTTGATACTGGTGGCATTGGCAGCAGCGTGAGCGGCGGCGGCGGGCGCGATGGGGAGCAGCGGAGCAGCGGCGGAACTGTTGGAGCAGCTTGATATCGATGGCTTCACGGCGCAGCAAATATTCAATCAGGTACCGCCACGTGGCACTTCTTCCGCTACGAAGCGCGCCTCTGCTCTCTGGTCTTCCGATTCGTTCCGCTGCGAAGCGCGTCTCTTTTCTCTTCCCGACCACCCTCTTCAATCGTGCTTTGCCACGTGTCGTTTCAGGGCGTGGCGTACACGTACGACGATTGCATCTTCCACCCGCGCCACATCAGCTTCGCCGCGTCTGACGTGGACCTGACGGGGCGCGTGACACGTGGCATCTCCCTGCGCATGCCACTTGTCAGCTCCCCGATGGACACGGTGACGGAGGCGGAAATGGCGGCGGCGATGGCGGCGGTGGGGGGGATGGGGTTTATCCATTACAACAACAGCGTGCAGGAGCAAGCGGATTTGATTCGGCAGGCGAAGCAGTGGCGCGTGGGAGTGGTCAACGTGCCGCCCACTCTGCCGCCCGCAAGCACTGTGCAGGTGAGGGGTGGCGGGGGGAAGCTGGGGTGCGGGAGTGTGGGTGGCGTCATGGCATGTGCGAGAGTGACGTGGCATGCGATTGATGACGTGGAATGTTCCGTCAGTCACTTAATCCATTGTCCCCCCTCTCTCCCTTCCGTATTCCCCGCCCCATTTTTCCCCTCCCCACCTTTTTTCTCCCCTCGCCCCCCCACGCCTTTCCCTCCGCCCACGTTCCCTCCCCCTTCCGCGCGGCAGGCGTGGGAGGAGGTGGTGGAGGCGAGCGGGCAGGGCGCGGTGTGCGTGACGGACGACGGCAGTGCGGGCGGCAGGCTGGTGGGCGTGGTCACAAGGAACGACGTTGACTTCGTTGACTCCAGGTGGGGTGACGAGAGGGGGAGTGGGCTGGAATTGGGATGGGAGAGAGTTGAAAATGGGGGATTGGTAGGTGGAAAGGGAAAGAGGGGTTGTGGGGAGGGGGGAGAGCTGTATAAGATTGGAAGCGGAGGCAAGTACGCAGACAGGCGGCCGCATTTCTTGAAAGCTTGACGCACCAAGCCTCGTTCCCCTGCACCCTTACACCCCTCACTCACTTGCTCTTCCTGCTCTCCTCCCTCCCTCCCCTTTCCCCTCTGTCGCCCATCCCCCCAGCACGGCACTGCTATCGGACGTCATGACGCCTCTTAAAGACCTCGTCACCGCCCCGCCCTCCTGCTCGCAGGAAGACGCCAAGAAGCTTCTCCAGGTGCGCTGCCGTCAGTGCGTAGCCTGCTCGTTGCTGCTTGCTGCCTGCCGTGTGTGTGGCTGCCTGCCGTGTGTGTGGCTGCCTCCCGTGTGTGCTGCTGCCGTGTGTGTGGCTGCCTGCCGTGTGTGTGGCTGCCTGCCGTGTGTGTGGCTGCCTGCTGCCTGCCGTGTGTGTGGCTGCCTGCCGTGTGTGTGGCTGCCTGCCGTGTGTGTGGCTGCCTGCCGTGTGTGTGGCTGCCTGCCGTGTGTGTGGCTGCCTGCCGTGTGTGTGGCTGCCTGCCGTGTGTGTGGCTGCCTGCCGTGTGTGTGGCTGCCTGCCGTGTGTGTGGCTGCCTGCCGTGTGTGTGGCTGCCTGCCGTGTGTGTGGCTGCCTGCCGTGTGTGTGGCTGCCTGCCGTGTGTGTGGCTGCCTGCCGTGTGTGTGGCTGCCTGCCGTGTGTGTGGCTGCCGTGTGTGTGTGCTGCCGTGTGTGTGGCTGCCTGCCGTGTGTGTGGCTGCCTGCCGTGTGTGTGGCTGCCTGCCGTGTGTGTGGCTGCCTGCCGTGTGTGTGGCTGCCTGCCGTGTGTGTGGCTGCCTGCCGTGTGTGTGGCTGCCTGCCGTGTGTGTGGCTGCCTGCCGTGTGTGTGGCTGCCTGCCGTGTGTGTGGCTGCCTGCCGTGTGTGTGGCTGCCTGCCGTGTGTGTGGCAAGGTTGCCTCTCAGCCCTCCGCTCCTCGTCTCTCCAACCTCCCTCTCCTCCCCCTCTCCGCGTTCCCGCCCACCTGCATTGCCTGCGCACGTGGCAACACGTCACTCTCACCCCAACCCACCCCGCCCCGCCCCAACCCACCCAGCGCTGCGCTCATCCGCGCTGCCCTTCCCGTCCTCTCTCACGCACAGGAGTCGAGGCGCAGCAGCATCCCGCTAGTGGCGGAGGGCGGCACTCTGAAAGGGCTGCTCACGCGCGTGCCACCTCTCCCTGCCCCATTCCCCCTTGCTCTCCCCCCCCGCACACGAGCAGGAGTCGAAGCGCAGCAGCATCCCGCTAGTGGCGGGGGACGGCGCGCTCAAGGGTCTCCTCACGCGTGCGCTGGTGAAGCAGCAGGTCGCCCTGCCCCCCCGCGGGCCGCCCTCCCTGGCGGCGGACGGCAGGGCGCTGGTGGGCGCGGCTGTGGGCACGAGAGATAGCGACAGGGAGAGAGTGGCGGCTCTGGTGGAGGCGGGCGTTGATGCCGTGGTGCTGGACTCGTCTCAGGGCGACTCCTCGTACCAGCTCGCCATGCTCGCACACTGCAAGCGCCAGTTCCCCGACCTGCAGATTATTGCAGGGAATGTGGTTACCACACGGCAGGTGAGGGAGGGGCATGGCGTGGCATGACAGGTGAGCGGCACGCACAGGTGGATGCCTCAGTAGCTGCCGTACGTTCTCCATTCTCGATTGCCCCTTTCTGACTGACTGCCTCCTGCCAACCTCCCCCTCCTCCCTTTGCTTCCCCTCCCCCCCCCCTTGCGCCCACCATGCAGGCGCGGCGGCTGATAGAGGGGGGTGCGGACGGCATTCGGGTGGGCATGGGGTCTGGTTCTATCTGCACCACCCAGGAAGTCTGCGCCGTGGGCAGGGGGCAGGTGAGCACAGGGACGGGTGAGTCTAGGGGAAATGGTGAAGTGTGCACCACAGGGGCATGGGATCTATCTGCACCACACAGGAAGTCCTCGCCATGGGCGGGGGGCAGGCGAGGCGGGGTGACAGGGGGCAGCTGAGAGGCATGTTTTGTGGGTCGGCTCGAATCAAAAGTGTTTTGGGGGCAGGTGAGGCGGTGAGCCTCGAGGAAGTGGTTCCTGCGGCTGCGCTGCCCTATCCCGGGCCGTGTCTATGAATGCACGTCTCTTGCCCCTCTTGCGCGCCCCTCTCCTCCCCTCGCACCTCTCCCCCCACCCATCGCGCCCCACTCCTACAGGCAGCAGCGGTGTTCAAGGTAGCAAGCCTGGCACACGCAATGGGGGAGGTGCCAGTGATAGCGGATGGCGGGGTGAGTAACACGGGGCATTTCATCAAGGCCCTCGCCCTCGGCGCCTCCTCTGTCATGGTTGGAAGCTTCCTCGCAGGCACCGATGAGGCGCCCGGGCAAACGTACATTCGGGTGCGTGGCTGGCGTTGACTGGCGCTGACTGGTGTTGACCGCCTTTGACTGGCGTGGACTGACTGCCTTGCGTTCTTGACTAGGTTGACTTTTGAGTGGACTGCCATGTCAGCGTGCTGCTCCATCTGATCTCAACTCCACTCAGCTTGTACTCTCGTCACCCCGATCCCCTTTTATTAGTACCCCCCGCCCTCATCTCTTTCCCACTCCTGAAAGGATTGAGATGATAATCGCCCCCTCCCCATCCCCCACACCCCGCTCTCCCCTACCCGCCCCCATCCCCCTCCCCCCCAATCACAGGACGGCTGCGCGTGAAGAAGTACAGGGGGATGGGGTCGCTAGCAGCCCAAAAGAAGGGCAGTGACAGCCGGTATCTGGGGGAAGCGGCGCAGCTGAAGGTGTCACAACCATCCCCCATCCCCCACACCCCGCTCTCCCCTACCCGCCCCCATCCCCCTCCCCCCCAATCACAGGACGGCTGCGCGTGAAGAAGTACAGGGGGATGGGGTCGCTAGCAGCCCAAAAGAAGGGCAGTGACAGCCGGTATCTGGGGGAAGCGGCGCAGCTGAAGGTGTCACAACCATTAATCTGTGCTCATCTCTGCCCTGTCCCTCTCCCCCATCTCCCTGTTCTCCCCCTACCTCCGCTCCCCCTCTTCCTCTCCCACTCCTCCACTTCCCCCGGCTCTTCCCCTCTGCGTTTCCTCCCCACTCCAAGCAGGACGGTGTACGGGTGAAGAAGTACAGGGGGATGGGCTCACTAGCAGCCCAAAGAAGGGCAGTGACAGCCGGTACCTGGGGGAGGGGGCGCAGCTGAAGGTGTCCTGCCCTCCCCCTTCCCCTCCCTTCCTCCCCAATCCCAGGATGGTGTACGGGTGAAGAAGTACAGGGGGATGGGGTCGCTAGCAGCGCAAAAGAAGG